CTACTAATTACGTCGGCATGAGACTGATTCCTACTACCGTTGTACTATGATACTGCTGCTACTACTACGACGACGACGATGACAACGACTACCGCGACTACGACCGCGACCGCGACATGATGTGGACGGCGAGGAGGATGACGATTACTTCCGCCACCACGAATGACTACGACGACGGCTGCTGTTGCTGCTGCTGTTGTTGCCGATGCCTTGGCTACGGCGGCTGCCACTGTTGCTTCCGCTTCCCCCTGCCACCACAATTTTTCAGACTGCGATGCTGCTGCTGCTGCTACTACAAGGAGGAGGAGAAGGAGGAAGAGGAGGAGGAGTACTATACTGGGGCGACTTCCGATGATCCCCACGCAGTTCCGATTTAGCCTAATTTGTTTATTACCCCTTTCGTTTTTTGATTGTGTTTTTTCCCCGAGTTATTGGTTTCCTTGGCCCTGAGTCATCCCTACCAGCCGCGTCAAAGCTCCGTGGCAGAGGGATGTGAAGTTTTGGCGTCATCCCGAGGCCTGGCAGCGCGTCTCCGCCTCGATTCTGTGAGTTGAATCGCGGTGCAGGGATGGAGTTTGATGGTTCGGGCCGAGCCTTGCTGTCCGGGGAAGACTGGGTTTCGGGATAAGGGCATGGCGCTCATCTATGAGTTTCGGGTTGAGTTGATAAAGACAAAGAGAGTTCCGAAAGACGTTGACCTTGACCCCAAAGCCGCAAACCCAAGGATCCAGCGCACTACTCAATCCGAGAAACGATGTCTAAAATCCTAACCGAAGCTCTGCATCCTTCTGCAGACGCGAATGCCTCATGCATTTATAGAAAGTTGTCGTTCTGTGCCACAGCCAGATGCAATATTGCAGCTTATGTTTGATCCCGATACCCCCCAGACATCGGCTCTTGAGGACCAACTGCGGGAGGCAGGGGTCATGCCGGGATCCTGGAGACAGCTTTAGGGTGGAGGGTTCAGTGTGTACAGCCTCGGGTGAAGGGGCCCAGGGCTTCTTTGTCCTGAGGCAGTGGTAGAATTGCAAGTTTCTTTGTTTGTTGGGTTGTCTGTCTTGGCTTCTTCGGATTGCGGGTTTGGTGTACAGTGAAGAGGCTCCGGTCCGGGGCGCGGGCGGCTCTATGGAGTGTCTTGGCCCTTTAAGACTCCAAGACCTCCACAGCCAAATCCCTAAGGCCCTAAGGAGATCGTCAAACTCAGGTGACAGGATGCTCACTACAGGGTGAGCGGGAGACAGCTAGACAGATGCTCGGGAGGTGGTGGAGTGGCAAAGACCGGTAGTACGGGCTTGGCTGCAGGGATTTGGGTCAGAGTCCTCCTATGGGTTTAAGGTCGAGGAATCGAGGGTAGAGGGCTTCGAGAGCTGGCGCAGAACAGTTCGCGACAGCTGCAGCTGCCTGTGCTTACTGGCCGCGGAAGCAAGGTTTGAGGGTCTAGGATCGACAGAAGAGACCAAAAACCTTCGGGCTTAAGGGTTTCGGGTCTACTGTTTAGGCTTCTCTCAGACCTTTAAGAGCGATACGAGTCCTGGCCGCTCTATTGCACCAGCGCACGCCCTCCCCGAGATTGCTCCACACTGCACGAAGAACTCCGTACATCGACGCACTAAAGTCTAGAACTGCCTAAGGTCGATTCTTCTTGGCCTGCCTGGTGGAGCTGGGCGCTCATTTGCAAAACACCGCGAAGAATGCATAGCTGCATAGCGGTTCTTGTTGAAATTGTGAAGCACTTCTTGGATTGCCGGCTTCCTTGACATACTCCACGGGTGGGGTGCTTGGTTTTGTATGTTGGTTTCTTCGAAGTTCCAAGTGCTTCGTATGAAGGAAACCCGGATTTTCGGACTTCAAACTCTTCGGGGCCTTTTGACACACGTATGAGAGGATGCGCAAGTCGCAAGTGCTTGTGGCTCATTCAACCGTATGGTTATGGTTGCTTAGACGCTAGTTCTGCAGTACCAAGTCTTGTTTGCAGATCCTTTCAACACCTTGGAGTTTTTCGGAAGCACAAGAGATGCTCAATCTACTAAAGGTTCGTGAGGAGGAGGGTTTGGACAGCGTATTCACGAACTCAGACGAAAAAATCCTAGCGAAGCCCACATGATTCACATGATGGTGCCCGAAAGAAGTGCGATCTCGCCCCTCAGCCCACTCAGTGTAGGGTTCATTTAGGACACATTCTACTTGAGTGATGCAGTGATTCAGCTTATAGGGGCTCTGTTTGCTTTCAGCATCTGGGGGTTTAGGGCCAGTGTAGCGGCAAACTACCAGGCGTCCTTGCAAGCAAGCTTGCAGCAAAAAGGGCCAGTGTAGGGTGTAACAGTAAAGCTTTCACGCCAGGCCCTGAGATGCTGAGATGGCACTCTATAAAATCGAGACTGACTTCGAGCAACAGAAGCCTGAACAATATGGGCCATCTGAAGTATTTCTGCTGAAGTACAGGCTCTACTAACTACTTGGGGCCCGTCTGACACCCAGTCCAGCCTGAAGCCTACGTGAGGATCCAGGGCCCCTCCACGATCGATTTGAGCGGCGGCCACCGCAAACCGGCTGAAGCTGTGCGCAAAAAGAGCTGGGAGCAGCTAGGTTTGAGGATGTTGGAGGAAGCTGGCTTTGCATTGCAGTACAGGAGCCTCCGCAAGGTTGCAGTGCCCGCTGCAATCCGTAACCTGTCAACACATTTATCGCAATGGATAGGAAGCCGAGCATCCAGGGGCCTTTCTGCTTGAGGCCAAGTCTTTCGGAAGGATACCACTACTACTACTACTACTACTACTACTACTACTGCTACTACTACTACTACTACTACTCCTCCTACTACTACTACTACTACTACTACGACTACTACTACTACTACTACTACTACTGCTACTGCTACTGCTACTTCTACTGCTCTACTACTCCTCCTACTACTACTACTACTACTACTGCTACTACTACTACTCCTCCTACTACTACTGCTACTACTACTACTACTACTACTACTGCTAGTGCTACTACTTCTACTACTACTACTACTACTCCTCCTACTACTACTACTACTACTGCTACTACTACTACTACTCCTCCTACTACTACTGCTACTACTACTACTACTACTGCTAGTGCTACTACTTCTACTACTACTACTACTACTCCTCCTACTACTACTACTACTGCTACTGCTACTGCTACTGCTACTGCTACTACTTCTACTACTACTACTCCTCCTACTACTACTACTACTACTGCTACTGCTACTACTACTACTACTACTACTCCTCCTACTACTACTACTGCTGCTACTGCACTACTTCTACTACTACTACTACTCCTCCTACTACTACTACTACTACTACTACTACTACTACTACTACTACTACTACTACTACTACTACTACTACTACTGCTACTGCTACTGCTTCTGCTACTACTACTACTACTACTACTCCTCCTGCTACTACTACTACTACTACTACTACTACTACTACTACGATGACGACGGTGGCGACTACTACTCCTACGCCTTCTTCCTGCTTCCTGCTACCCTTTGCCTACTTCCTACTTGCCTCCTACTTTCTACCTGCTTCCTGCTACAAAATGCAACAACTGCTACTCCTCCTCCGTACCCCTTCAGCGCTCCTGGCAAAATGGGTCTAGCCTGAACAATCTTGCCTTAAACCCTAAACCCCACACCTGGATTGTCCGAGTGTGAGCGACGAAACCCTGCACCACAGGTCGGCTCAAAAGTTTTGGAAACACCCTTTCGCATCTTCCGCCTAGTGGCCTGGGAGCAAAGTCGCGGCTGGACTCTGAGCTGTCTAGGGGTTTTGGACATCCCCGAAGTGACGGGGTTGTTGTAGGGTTTTGGTTTAGGGTGGCATAAAGTTCTTACAGTGTGGCTTGGGAGACTTCTTCAGTGAATTTCAGGCTTCGGGTTTGGACGTCAGAGTATAGATGCAACCAGGGGTACGTAATGGTACTGTACGTAGTTAGTTGCCTTATCTTTCTAGATGGGGTGATCTGTGCGGCGTAACGAATACTGATACTGCAACACTGCGTATCTGCCTTTAGACCCCTACGCAACGCCTAAAGCACCCTGAAGTGCGGGCTTTGTCCTTAGGAAGGAAAACAAACATGAAGCACGAAAGCAGGGTCAGCGGAATCTTGCAGAAGTTGCTGTGGATCAAGCGTCTGCAAGAAAGATTCAGCCTGTTACGTGCAAGCTTCTGATCACCCAAGTGTCGGCGCCCCACGTCCAATCCGTAAACCCCGAAGACGACCTCGCACCAAGAACCTCGCCTGGCATGTCCCAGTCGTGAGAGCGTAAACCCCGAAGACCAACCACATGGGTGGTTGTCAAAATTGGGGTCCCTTTTTGGGTCCTCATTATAGTACGGCACCTCATATTCAGGGTACCCAAAAAGGGACCCACTTTTTGACAACCACCCACATCTTAAAGAGCCCCGAAGCCCAGCAGCTTCGCCCCCAGGTCATGGCAGAGACAAAGGGCCAGAAGCGAGCCTGGATGAAAGAGTGGAGTTAATATAGGTGCCTGAATAATTACCTATACTGTTTGGGGGGTTCCTTATTGTAATTATAGTATAATGGGCCCCAAAACCCTATTCTAATTATTATAAGGCCCCTACATTAGGTTCGCGGTTGAGCGTGGAGTTGGCTTCAGCCTCTGAGGACGTGCAAGGGTTTTTGGTCTAGGGCTCTGGTGATAGCCCAAACAGTGCCCCCCAAGTCTTTAAGCGAGACCGACCGTGCGTCAGTTTGATTTTATTTGGGTTTCAGGCTGGAGGGATGTACCACGGGAGAGACGCTCAGCTCACAGTCTTCGACCTGATCTGGCCGGGCTCCAAAGTGCACAACATCAGTTTCACCTCACACAAGCCAAGGAGGCAGACGTGTTATCGGTTCCAGGGAACACTAACCCTAAACCCTAAACCCTAAACCCCTAAACCCCTAAACCCCTAAACCCTAAACCCTAAACACAAGCCTAAAATTCTGCAGCCATGGCAAAAGCCATGGCCGGGGACGCTGCCTTCGCTGCAGGCATTTTAAAGGACTGCTTCGGCCGCGGTGGCGACTTCACCGTGATGGTGGAACAGCCGCAGGCTGGCGATAGCTGCGGGTCAGCGGTTAAGCGAGTGGAGTTCAGAGTGTGGTCTCTCTTGCTGACCAGATGGTCTGCAGTTTTTGACACAATGATCAATTCCGAGAGGTTTGTGGAGGGTCAAGCGTCGCAGGTAGTCATTACAGACTTCTCCAGTGAAGCGGTGGAGATCTTCCTTCGTTTTCTGTATTCCGGGATCGTAGAGGCCCCTGTTGATACCCTGGTGGAAGTTTGTTCGATGGCGGACAAGTACCAGGTCACAAGACTGCACGAGCTGTGCACGGAGGCATTCGAGAAAGGCCTGAACCCGGAGAATGCCTGCCAGCTCTTTTCCTGTGCCGACCGCTTCCAGCTGGCGGACCTGCGTAGAATGGCACTGGAGAAGATCTGGATCAATGCAAAGGTTGCGCTGAAAGAATGCCCGAGCATACACCCGGAGCTCTTGGAGGAGATCCTAGCGCCCGGCCTCATCTGCATCTCTGACCCTGATCTCAGGGTCATCTTGCAACGTTGGTGCGGTGGCCGAAAACGTAAGGCCGGTGAAGAAGCGACATTCTCTGGGCCTTCACTGCAGCCGATCATTGACAGACACTTGGAGCGCATGACGGATGCGGCTGCACGCATGTCGGCCGCCTTTGCTGTAGAGGAAGACGCGGAGTTGACGCAAGTACTCTCATACTACTCAGTGGATGTATTTCAAGATATGTTGAATTCTGACCCTCTGCCTGTTTTGGGATATTGCTTGAACGTTTTTTTGGATCGGAAGTGCGCGGATTGGTTTTGTGAGCGTAACCCAGGTCCATTGGAGGAGTATGCCGGCAATCAAAAACCCCTCTCATTGAATCAGGGCTCCATTTCATGGATGCTTCCACACGACTCCGTTTATCTTATGGGCCTATCCTTCGCCTTGGACATGCCAGGGAATGTCCGTTACAAGGTCTGTTGTTCAGAGGATGGTGCGAGCTGGCATCTTGCTGCAGAGTCACGACGGTCCAAGATCCAAGCCAACACGGCATTATGCCTCAACCGGCCGCCTCACCTGGTTAAGTGGTTCAAGCTCGAGGTTCTGGAAGGCGACTTTCACAACAGTTTGCGTGTTCGCGGTATCTGCAAGGAAGATCTTCGCTACTAACATCTGAGCAGCTTCTTCTGGCGACCTGCGAGCCGAAAAAGAAGCGCAGCTACGGACTCTCCAAAGCCCTGAGCCTCGGGACTCGACCCCTGGCCCGGGAACCTGGAACCCGGGTTTAGGGTTTAGGGTTTAGGGTTTAGGGTTTAGGGTGGGCACTTCACCAAACACAACGCCCTTCCGCCCCTTCCGTCAAACTCTCGAGCCTTGCTCAGCTGTGAAGAGCGGTCGCGAACCCTGTGACGAGCGTTCTTGGTCCATAGCTTAGCTGATTGTTGCTTTAGGCTTAGGGTTGGAACCGCACCAAAGCATTTCCAGTATCAGGGAGAACGATGCCAAACATGATACGCTACAGAAACGCGGTTTTATGATTGAGCATACTGAATATAACGGAAAATAAATTAAGCACCTACGCATCCTGAAAGGAGCCGATCCCTAGGAACACTAGCATATTTCAGAAAGCTTGTTCCAACAAGGATCCTTGTCCACTTTGGTCCAGCAGCCGGCGCCCAACTTCAAGCTTATGGCGTGTGCCTTCGACGCGGGTACGGGCTCTCTGAGGGTGTAGGACTCAGGGTTTAAGCTTTCGGCTTTCGGGGCTTAGAGTTTTGGGGTCTTAGGGCTCGGGCCGTGTAGGGTCTTGTTCACTGCTTTGGGCACGGCTGGTGGTGCTGGAGTTTTCAAGTCTTCGTTTCAATTGAAATTGCATGTCTTCGATTTTCGGGAATGTGGCAGGATTTGCCAGGGAAGTTTAGGATTCGGGGCATAAGCCTTAGGGTTTGGGAGTTGATGCTTCAGGTTCATGAGGTTGCGAAATTGATTGGAAGTTCTGGGTGCACGGTTCAGATTCGAAGCAGTGGCGCCTCGGTTTTCAATATTCATTGCTCTTGAGTCCACTCGAGCCCCAAATCGGTGATCCCAGAACGGGTGAAGCTCCTTCTCTCCATGGCTCCTCCCTCTCTGTCTCAGTCTCTCTCTGTCTCGCTCCGTCTATCTCTGTCTCTCTCTGTCTCTCTCTGGATCTCTCCCTCTCTCTCCGTCTCTCTCCGCCTCTCTCTGTCTCTCTCTGTCTCTCCCTCTCTCTCCGTAACTCTCCGTCTCTCTCCATCTCTCTCCGTCTCTCTCCGTCTCTCTCGGTGTCTCTCCGTCTCTATCCGTGTCTCTCCGTCTCTCTCCGCCTCTCTCTGTCTCTCTCTGTCTCTCCCTCTCTCTCCGTAACTCTCCGTCTCTCTCCATCTCTCTCCGTCTCTCTCCGTCTCTCTCGGTGTCTCTCCGTCTCTATCCGTGTCTCTCCGTCTCTCTCCGCCTCTCTCTGTCTCTCTCTGTCTCTCCCTCTCTCTCCGTAACTCTCCGTCTCTCTCCATCTCTCTCCGTCTCTCTCCGTCTCTCTCGGTGTCTCTCCGTCTCTCTCCATCTCTCTCCGTCTCTCTCCGTCTCTATCCGTGTCTCTCCGTCTCTCTCTGTCTCTCTCTGTCTCTCTCCGTCTCTCTCCGTCTCTCTCCGTCTCTCTCCGTCTCTCCCCGTCTCTCTCCGTCTCTCTCTGTCTGTCTCCATCTCTCTCTGTCTCTCTCTGTCGCATTCTGTCGCTCTTTGTCTCTGTCTCTCTCTGTCGCATTCTGTCGCTCTCTGTCGCATTCTGTCGCTCTTTGTCTCTGTCTCTCTCTGTCGCATTCTGTCGCTCTCTGTCTCTGTCTCTATCTCTATCTCTGTCTCTGTCTCTCTCTGTCGCATTCTGTTGCTCTCTGTCTCTGTCTCTATCTCTGTCTCTCTCTGTCTCCCTCTCTCGCTCTCTCTCTCTCTCTCTCTCTCTCTCTCTCTCTCTCTCGCTGCGTCTCTCCGTGTCTCTCTCTGTCTCTCTCCCTCTCTCTCCCTCCCTCCCCTTCTCTGTCTCTCTTTAAAATTCAACATTCAGATTTGGTCTGTCTTGCTGGAACGGCGATGGGACATCTTCGATTCTTCTGCTTTCGTGCCGACTCCTACACTGGCCTGTTCAGGGCTGCAGTATCGGCTGTTCCCAGGCCTCGAAAGCACCTGGAAAAAAGAAACGGTTCCCTAGATGCCAGACTGTTCAGCCCACGTGCCTTCAACCGCAAAAAGCAAGGCATGCCGGATGACTCCTTCAAGGAGGTGGAGCTCGCCGGTTACCGAGGCAGGATAGCCCCCCCCGGCCCAGAGATGTCATAGTTTCTTGACCGTGGGCTTTTCCTTCTTGAAGCAGTCTTGTTACTTTTAACCTTTCATGCGGGGATTTCCTTATTAAGCGTGAGTATTGCTAGTAAGAGAAAGGCACTGTTGGCTAGTAAGAGAAAGGGCACTGTTGTTATCAAGAGGATACGCGGGGGCCAAGATAAAGGGAGATGGGAGTTGCTTGGAATGGTTGAGGCTGGTCATCCGGGGAGTTAGGAGGGCTGCAGGCGTCGAGGTCTTGAGGGCTATATGGGCTACGCACATCGTAGTTGGGAGTTTGCGGTCGTTCGGATATCGGTTTTCAATTCTACGCAACCCTTAAAAGAGCAGCCTTCAAAGCCTTCTCTGTCTTAGGAGGCTCAAAAAGCAGGGCTTGCAATTCGAACTACTCTAAAGAGGATACTTTAGCCATTGCCATTGTGCGCGCTGCCAAAATGGAAGTAAGACCATGTTCCAGAATCCGAGCGTTCCCATGAGGAAAGAAGTATGTGGTGCTGTACACCTATCCGGCCGACTTCACCTTCGTGTGCGCCAGCGAGCTGGTGGCATTCTCCAAGTTGCAGAAGGCCGCAACTACTGAGTCAAATGCTTGACCAGGGTTAGGGTTGAGGGTCCAGGGTGAAGAAACTTGACTAGCGTTTCCGGCTTCTCGAGCGAATGCTGTTCACGGTGGCAGCTCAACGTTTCAGGGTGAGGTGGTCACAGGATTCTATGATTCTATGCAACATAACGAGGAACCATATGGTGCACCCTGTGAGTGCTTTGCGTGAATAATGAATAATGACGAGTCTGGCTGCGGCGGCACAAAATGTCTTCATCTAGTCTGTAGGTCTCACGCAGGCCTATCTGCCACCCAACAGCCTGAACACTGAAAATGCTAATTCAAGCGAGTGGCATCGAAGGAGTTCGACGATCGAGGTGTCGAGGTGTTGGGCCTGTCCATCGACACGGAGCACGTGCACAAGGCTGGGTTTTCCAGTAGAACTCGGGCTTGAGGCTGGGTTTCTTTAGCTCAATGCTTTCTGTGTAGTGTGAGTGTGATGGTATGTTTTGGCGGCTGTGAAGTTTCTTCGTGTTTCTTAGTTTAGACATCCACATGAAGGCCGCGGGGGAGTTGTGCTTGCCTTGCACTCGGCGCTTCAACATTTTGCGGCTATGTTGCACACCCTTTCAAGACTTTCCCCCGAGCTTCGAGTGGCATCCCGGAGGCATGGAAAAACACGCCGCAAGACAAGGGTGGAATCGGGCCCATCTCGCACCCGCTGCTGGCAGATGTTAAGAAGGAGGCCGGCTTATTACCAGGTTAAGGTGCTAAGGAGAGCTGGCACTGGCAAAATCTTAGAACACCGGAGCCTCCCAGAAGCTCCTCTAAGACAGCGCCGCGCATGGGATGTATACCTGTTGAGCCTACACTACGTCACTACGTAGCATCCAATCCACGTGTAGTGTAATGGCAAGAGTAGGAGCCGCTGATCTTCCAAAGTGCTTACTGCTCCTGACACTTTCCGTTCTGACAGCTCGCGCCAAAGTTGCCCAGGCAGCCCTGTAACAACGATGCTCAAAACAAGTAGGCTCCAATGCAAGAAGAGCACGAACTCTTTCAAGGTCCGGTGAGCCAACTGGAAGCAGTCGTCCTGCATTAAAAACCCCCCAAAAAGGCCCTTAACCTATACCCAGCCTTGACTGTGTAGTGGCACATCGGAGCCCACGCCTTGGGTCCGACACTCTTCCGGAATCCTGCCCTTCCTGCGCATCGTTTCTTCAAAGGTGTCGAAGCAAGGATCCCGCCTTTTTGAGGTCTGCCCTTCTTTTTGAAGTACCGAGCGGGCCCCAACCCTGAAAGAGGTCAGCGATGCCTATGGGTGCCTGTTGGACAACGGTCTGGCATTGAGGGCCGTGTACATCATCGATAAGGCGCCTGGGCTTTGCTTCGGGTTGTCGTAGTCATCCCCCTTGAGGTTTGGGCTTTGCATGTAATTAAGCCTGAAGCAGAAGTTTATGCTTCGCGGTTGCTTGCGACGTCTCTTCGTTTGTGAGGATGGCGTCGTGCGATCCGAGATGAAGAACGACCTCCCGCTGGGACGCAACGTCGAGGACAAAAATCACGGCCATGTGATACCAGTAGTTTGAGTGCACTTTCAGGTTGAGTTTCGCGCATGTCCAGGGTGTTTGGAGTCAAATTGTGTGACCCACAGCTTCGGGCATTGAGGGTCTTTTGGGGAGGTGCCTTTTCTGCGGAGGAAGTCCTCCGCATCTTGGATGCGCTGCAGTTCCACGAGAAGAGCGTGAAGGATGGAAATCCCATGGTTTGCCCGGCGATGTGGAAGAAGGGTGCCAAGGCTATGAAGCCCACCACGGAGGGTGTGGCGGAGTACTTCAAGGGCAAGTGAGGCCTGATTAGCGTCGCAGGCGCCTGCGCATTTTGGAAGCAACTTCAGGGAGTCACTGACTGCCATGCTTCACGTTTTGTAGGAGCTCACTCGTCTAGAGTGCAGGCTGGCATCCTGGCACTATGTGTCCCCTGCGGGCCCTGAACTGCTTAGCCAGAAACCAGGGCCGATGCTCCAACTAGTCATGCGAAGCGGGAGTGAAGCTTTGTGATTGTGGCTGGGACACAGAGAGGGGGGTGCCAGCTTGAATGATTACACGCTAACCGAAACGGATGTGTCCAGCACATTCCAGCGCGATCAGCGATGCTGTCAAAACCATCTTTGCAAAGACGGGCAAAGCAAAAAAGACACACCTCGCTCAACCTAGCAGCCTTCGCCCAAAACATATCGACGGATCAGCCTCCGATAGTCCCACGAAGGTGTGTCGTGCTCGTGAATGCTCGTGATCACGATGAAGGGATGCAGCCGCCTTTTGCCACGCTGGCTCAAAAAGAGCTCTCAAAGAACGATCTGCCCGCTGCAGCCTCCCAAGCGGCATTGTTCCGCGGATATCCCCTGAGAGCCTCCTCGTTCTTGAGATGGCTACTGCGGCAGCAGACAGCCCTACCCAGACCGAGGTGCGGAGGACAGGATTGGCTTGCCCTCATTGCAATCGCACTGGCCAGTTTTTCCTAAGCTTGTCAAGTCATGGATGCATCGTGGCAAGAAGAAGCAGCGCGCTCGGATTTACATGTCCAGCATGCGTAACTTTAACTCTGAGCTGATCGGAGTGTTGTGCTTGATTTCGTGTTTGCTAAGAAGGTGATACAAAACCATACTCGGACACAGGCCCAAAGCGGCCAAGACTTTGCAATGGACTTCGCAATATAGCCGGTATGCGGTGGCAAGACCGATGCAAAACCGCATTGCCACGTCAGCATGACTACCTACGTCACTGTTGCTTTCAAGATTCCGCCTTTTTGAGTCGTTGAGTCTATGTCATGGTACACAGTATAACATAGTGGTCCAGGCACCTTGAGCCCTAAATCTAAACCATCAAGCTAGGCTACAGTACCTGCTGCTGATTGCTGTGTGACTGTTAAACATGTCTACACTGGTAGATCCACGAAGCCTGTGACAGGCTCGATTTCTGAAAAAGGAGCCATCAAGTTCGGATTTCGGAGATGTTCAAATGGCTACGATATCTTAGCTGCTTTCAACTGTTCAACCAAGCACCCTGCAATGCAGGCTCGTCCTTTGCTAGGTATGAGGGAAGAAAACTATCAAGTCCCCACATCCTGCATCACCGAAGGGCCGCGCATCGAATGAGCCTTCCGATTTGTGTGAAAATTTCTTGTCTCCTCGGCAATGATCACTCCACGTCATATGAAGCAACACTCTTTCCCTTCACGGTCTTAAGGATGTAACCGTGACGGGAGCCGTCTTTTGGCAGATGCAAACATAAACTCTCAGACCCCGACGACCCGGTTTTGCCTGGCCAGGTCCAGGTGCGACTCTGCAACTCTGCAACCAAGGCGGGTGTTATAGAGGTCCGAAAAATCAGTCATAGCGCGCCCCCTTATCATCCCTTCCCGTCCCGGTTCCAACAAACTAAAGCAGAGTACACCCGAAACATTCTGATCATAAAGGTGAGTGGCTGGGCTTTCATGCTGGAGGGTTTGCTCCCTTGAAGCCAAGAACCCCCGCAAGCTGTAAATGCTGGGCCCCTACCCTATACCGTTCCACAGGGGTCTCCAAACAAAAACAGACATGCTATTCCCTTAGAGTTCCTATACACTTGCGCTACTACATATTCCCAAAACCCTAATTTATTGCTGTGCGCCTTGTAGTTGTCTTTGCCGACCAAGAACCTCGTCTGGATGCGTCCGAGTTGCGAGAGCGTAATTATTGCTGTTGTCAGGCCACCAAGCCCTTAATGGGGACCCCTACCCTATCATGGGCTATGTAATGGGTATATAATAGCTATATTAAGGGTATATAATAGCTATATTGAGGGTATATAATTATATAATAGCTATATTAAGGGTATATAATAGCTATATTGAGGGTATATAATTATATAATAGCTATATTAAGGGTATATAATAGCTATGTTGAGGGTATATAATAGCTATATTGAGGGCATATAGTAGCTATATCAAGGGTATATGAAGCCACGGGCAAAAAATACGGCTGCAGGTGCCCTTCTTGCCGGACGATGGGCTCGACGCCCTGAAGTCGCGGGCTGCAGGGGCCTTCGGACTGAAGGCCGTTGGATCTTTTGGGGGGTCCTTTAAAGGGATACTTAGGGTCCCTTAAAGGGATCTATAAATATTCTATAAAGGGGTCCTTGGGGTAAGGATCCCACTATTTAGGGATATTTAGCGTGCTATATGAGGGTCCCCTGTTTTCGGAAACCCCCATATAGGGTTTTCCTTAAGGGTTTCGGGGACGAGCTAGACTTCAGCCCAGTATGAAAAGGTGGGTGAGGGTTCAGGGCTCGGGGCTTTCGGCTAGAAGAGGGTTGTTGGTTGAATTCGGCTCTGAGGTTAATCTGAGGGTTTAGTGCTCGGTCAGGGTGTCGAGCTGGATCAGGTTACCGGTCCGAGGTTTGGGGCTTAGGGTTCTGGGTTGTCGGGACTGGGATCTAGTGTTGGGGGTTTTGCTGTAGAAGTTGGTTGAGGATGGTGGGGGCCTTGACATCAACCAACTCGGCTGCTGCCACAACGAGAGACCTGTTGCCATGAGGCAACTGCAAGAACCAGGGTCGTAATAACTTAACATGAAGTTTCGACGCTCCTATCCATCCATTGCATGGCGGGGAAAATCGAGAGGGTATCTGTCGACAAAGGTTGGAGCTACACTCCTCCAGCAACTCTCCATGCCCAATCCGACACAACTGACCTTTCAACGCGCTGTGGTGCACCCCCCCGGCCCGGAGTAAGTTGACCCCGGCCCCGGATCCCCCAAACCCTAAAGCCCTGAAGCCTTTAAAAGCCTAAGCCCCGCCGGAGCAGGCGCCCTTTGACATCATCGGCCCCGAAGGCACGCGCCTGGCCACCGACGCAGATGCTGCACGTGCGTTGCTGAAACTAGGCGTGGTGCTTTATTTTGCACCTTTTCATAAGTTTTGGGTTTGCTTACTACAACCGAACAGTAGGAGCAAGGGTAATTAGTTTTTTACAGTGACGGAGATATTGGACAGCAAAGGAACGGCTCTGGTGAGCTGGCAATCAGCCGCTTGGCTCTGTCGTGTTTAAGGCCTTCAGGCTTCCAGCCAGGGGCTTGAGCATACGCGGGCCGGGTGACAGGAGCGAGGCAGAAAGTCTACTGGCGACAGAAAACTACAACGAGTTTATGCATACTCCTGGCTTGGAGGTATCCTAAATCCTAAGCCAAGGTTACAAGATTGCAGGCTGCAGGTCCGATCTTGCTTCGTAGTGTTTGGCGGACCCAAAAGGTTTCTTGATCTCTATAGAAATTCTGAACCCTATCCGTGAAGTCTTCAGGCCTGACACTTTAATGGTTTAGGCTTGCAAGCCTGTCGTGGAGTCTACAGCCAAGTCCCCAGACACTGAACGAGATTTTTAGACATGTCAGACTTCGAAGCACAGCAAAAGGCACTGGTGAAGATGCGCTGTTGGACCTCGAGCGAGCCCGAGAGGACCAGATTGTCAACGCGGCATAGTTGTGGCCATCATAGTCGAGAAGTGCTGGTGGGGGTATCATAATGATGTTGGCGAGGTTGGCGAGGACGTGCTGCTAGCTCCTGCGACAGGTGTTTCTGATGTTGATGAAGATGATGCTGGAGATGATGGTGACGATGATGATGACAATGACGACGGCATGGTGACGACCCTGATAATGAGCACGAGGACGATGATGGCGATAAGATAGATGATGAAAGGACGAGGCGAACATGATGACTGAGGCGATTTGTCGTCAAGGCATTGATAATGTTCATGGCCGGGAGCAGAGTGATGTTGGCTAGGATGCTAGCACAGTGACGAAGATGCAGATGCTGATGATGGTGCCGATCATAATGGTCAGGGCAAGATGGTGGCTCATGATGCCGCTCATGGCGGCTAGTATTGTCACAATGACCAACAAAAGACAGCGACAAGAGTGGTGACTGCGGCGATGACACAGTAGCAGGGTTGAGTGACTTGGATGATGAGAATGACTGAGAATGGTGATGTTGGCGACATCGCCTTTGTTGCCGGATGTGCATCAGTGTTGCGGGCGGTTTTGCAATCATCTTGGTGCCAACACCAGCTAGAAGTCCATGCCCGTGGAGCGGATGAGGCAAGATTGATGATGTAAACAGCTTGACGACTCGCCAAGCTACTTCTTATCTTCGGCCGACTGAAGATCCCAAGATCTACGTAGCTCCGCTGGAATCTAAGAAGATAAAATGTTGCAGCCTTGGGGAAGCTTGCTGATAGTTGAATGGGAGCCAATACAAACACACAATGATTAGAAACCCTGAGCCATGTCAAAGGAGTCAGGGGTCTTGCGCTGGGCGTTGCTGAGGCCGTTTTTGGTGCGCACTCGAGAGTTCGGATTGCAGCTTTCATGGTTTTGGCATGTGGAAGTTGGGGGTTGGGGTTTAGCGCGTTTCAATTAGACTCAATGGCAGCTTTGGTGACGGGTTTCGAAGCTGCAGGAATGAAGCGCCAGATCCTCCAATTCTGAACCCTGACATACTTTGGCAGCCCAAACAATCACAAACGGACTCTTAATCCGTCAGGCCAATTGGCTCACTCAATTGGCTCCAGTAGTCCAAATTGGTTTCAGTGCGGCAGTAGAGTGCTTTGCAGCCTTGCACGCAGCGAGCCATAGACCTACCCAATAAATAATCCTGAATAAGCGTTTAAGGACACAAACGCCCGGACGGAGAGACAGACAGCTGCAAGCTTCCGGTACAAAGACTGCTTCCTTGACTCGTTCCCTGAATCTCAAAAGCGGGTTTTTTTGCAGGCTTATGCTAGTGTACATCTGACCTGATCCCTGCACCATGTGAAAAAAGCCTTGTTAAATCCCGAAGCCAGGAAGCTTCATGCAAGATCCCCCGCCGAAAAACCCAGACCTAAACCCAGCACCCGCGACGCTGAACCCTGGACACTCAACGCTGCCCGTCAGCTCACATGTCGCAGTAGCAACAGTAGCATTGCAACGAGACCTCATGAAGCCTTGCCTGCATAGAGCGAGTGTGCGAGTCGAAACGCTGATTCGACGCAGGCAGATCCTGGCAGATATGCGAACCCAAGTCGCAGAACTCTCTGTTGCCCTCAGCGAGGGCAAGCACGCCGCAACAGCGCTTTGGGCTTATTTGTAAGTCCTAGCCTTGTTCACAGAGACAATCAGAAGTGTAGGACTCGGTCAAAATATCTGGGGCTCAACTAAATAGCATGAAGGCGTTCAGCGCTTGAGGCTTTAGGAATTCAGCATTGGCTTCTGTGCATTTCGGCTTTCCGGTGGTCTGCTCATTTCGGTGCCCAAGGTGCTGCAGCAGCAGCTCATGCGGGAGCGCGGCGCTCGCGAGGCAAGTTGTGCAACCAGCGAAGAGCACAGTTTAACCTGTCCATCAATTCTTGGGTGGGGTATGTCAGAGACCTGTTACGAGTCATCGTTCCCGTTTCAGAGGCCATGTCTAAACTTCCCATGGAGGGAGCGTCGAATGTGTAGCCCGTAGAGATTTGGCAAGCTTGGACACTTCGCTGAGCCCTGCTATCATTGAGCCTTGTTCTGAAGAGTTGGTTCACACCTCGAAGCCCAAATCCTAAGCACCAAAAGCCAAGTGAGGGCGAAGATCCGTGTCCAGGTCAAACCCTTAATCGAGGTCACAGCAGACCTCACAGAATGAACTGCTAGAGCCGAAGGCATGTGACACAAACTTGAAACCACAAAGCCCTATAGCCCTAAACCCGCCGGCAGTCTTGACAAAGCAGGCGGCAGAGGGGGGCCTCAAGGGGGAGATCGATGAGCTCAAGGAGCGATTGGCCCTGGAGGTCTGAAGCTGACGGGCCCAGAGCTTTAGGGTTTAGGGTTTGAGGAATGAGGTTTTTGAGCAGCTTTCGGGTGTAGGGTTACTGGGACGTCCAGGGCTCATGCGCCGGCCCCGAACCCCCATCCCCAAAGCAAGAAGCAAGAAAGATAGGCAAGACCGAGGCTAACCACGACCTCAAATCCATTAAACCTGAACCTCCACCTTGTTACCATCCTAAACTTTATCCGAAACCCAAACCTCACGGGCGTTTGGTGGCACTGAAGCCGAGGGCACGAAACTGTTTCTGGGGGCCAGTACTTCCGGGAAATGGTGGTTCGGGGATGGTCCCTGAGTTGAGGCAGGTCAGGTGTTCGTGTAATTCGCTTCTTGAGATAGACTTGCCTCGGCGAAAGTCAGTGGAGTGTCCACACTTGGATTGTTGTCACGATGTATCTGATTGTACTGCGCCGGATGACTTGTGGCTGGTGGCATCTCCGTTCAGTCTAGCCTTTAGCGGTGCAATCTGGGGAAGAAACGTGGGGTCTTGTGAGGTATATATGTTTGGCTCGCGCCACCTCCCGCCGCAATTGCTCCGCCTGCAAACCACATTTCAGATGCACTGCCTGCTGATGGAAACGGGCTAGCTAACAAACACCTTGAGTCTGAATCCTCAAACCCAACAGGCCTGAAATCTAAGCTTTCAGAGCAATCAAGGCTTCTTGAGCATTGTCAAGCTCAGCAGAGTTTAGGGTTCCAGGGCTTAATACTTTTAAGGTTTGCGTGACTTGAGGGGTTTAGCGCTGGATCGTGAGACGTGCAAGCACGGTTGGAAGCATGTTGCTCGGGCTGGTCGATGCTATTTCCATGAATGGGTGCGCTGCTTAGACATCGCAAGAGTATAGCACTCAACGACTGGTGTGCCAGACAGAATTTCATCAAAGTAGCATACTATACCTCGGATTCATACTCCTGGTGATGAGCTTCGGCCAAGTCTAACTACTCCTGTTCCCATTCACCAATTTCCAAAGCCTTTAGCCCAGTGCCCTTTAATCCATCAACACACGTTGAAGCAGATCGAGGATACCTCAATCAGGAAAGCCCCAAATGCCTGCACCCGACAGCGCGAAAACCGTATGCAGGCCCTAAGCCCTTCAGTCCATCTTAGGAGAGGAATATTGGGGCTATCCGCGAAGGTCCACCGTCTTCGACAAGATCTGGGCCGGAGCACAGGGGAGGTTGCGGCTAGCCTCCAGTCGCAGGCGCTGGGTTCGAAGTCTGTTCGGGCTTCAGGGTGCGCAGGTGACTGCAAGAGAGGGTTGTGCTTGGGAGCTGTAGGGCTTTCAGAATCAGCTTCGAACATAAACAATAAAGACTTTCGGGCCCTCTGCAGTAGGTCTCCCGCGTCCGCGAACTGGATAGGTTTTAGGGATATGGGGTTTCAGAGGATCAGAGATCAAGGTCCAAGAATACGAAGGATCCCAGTCTTGAGTTCATTTCAGGAGGCCGGAAGCCTTGATCGTTTGAATCCCTTCGATCTAGGCCGTAGCGCAGGAGTTGGCCTTCCTCATCTCTAAACCCGAGCCAACTTATGTTCTAGGTCCATACCATAATTCCATATACTTCCTAAGTTTTTCAACGACAACTCGGACCCCTTAACCCTAACGCCCATCCCCCAGCCCCACTGAAAGCCAGTCCCACTTTACTTGCCCGCCGAATTCCCGGAACTCCAGGAATCCGTCAACCCGCCCTGAGAGGTTCAAGCAGTCCAAGCCGGGCAGACAGAAGCCCTGGAGCAGAAGGTGGCCACGTTGAAGGAAGCTTTGCAGGCCTCGGTCTGATAGACTTCCGTGATAGAACTCGCAAGCGGGCATTGATTCCACAGCAAAGCGAGAGGGAAAAGATAGACTTCCAGGAATCCTAAACCCGCGAGTCCCGAGCCGAAAGAACCCGAAACTTCACAGTCTTTGGTGGTCTTCAGGGCTCCGATCTTGTGTTCTCGCTTGTGGCTCCCACAAAGAGCCGAGCCTCGAAGTACGAGAACACGAGCCACACCTCTTGAGATCGCCACGTAGTGGCTTCCGAGTCGACGCCTCTTAGCCTCAAGCCCAGCTCGCCAAGACAGCCGTGATCCTCGGAACTGCGCAGATCGGGTTGGGGTGATGGTGCAGACTTTGTCGGGAACTCATTGCCAAACTCCGTAAACTGTTTAGCAAGAGTTGAATCCTGCACAGGGGCTTTACTCGCAGAAGCCTGTTTTTTTTTTTTTTTTTATCGGGTCTGTGTCTTATAGACCCTCCCGCATATTCCAGCACAGAAATCCGAAGCATCTTCACTTCCACACAAGCCCTAAAACCGAAAGCACGCACGAAGCACAAATGGGAGTTTCCGAAAATGGGGGGCCCCAATATATTCCCCTAAGTAGAACATCCTTATTGTAAGGACCCCAAAATAAGGTACCCCTTGTTTTCGGAAACTCCCAAATCCTGAACCAAAAGCCCGGGATCGCTAGGCTCAGCTGGAGGCCCGTCAGCGCGAGGCTGACGAGAGCGGCTTGCCAGGAGATCCTTTTAAAGTTAAACGAAGTCCTGTTCCATAGCCTCAAAGAAGACCCCAAGCCAAAAAACAAAATCTGCCCTGTGAGTGCACCGTTTCAATGTTCGCATTATTTTGAGAATCTGAAGCTGACAGTTTTGACCGCAAGAGTCCATGCATCCCTCTCCTCCGAGGTCTCCGCTGCTTTGGAGAAGTCAGGACTCTGCACCTCACCGGCACTTGAAAGCCTTTCTGGATCTTGCGAAGTCCTAGGTTTTCCCAATAATGAATGGCTGATAGTTACTAGAGTAAACAGTTTTTTTTGGGTATCGTATGCCGCATGCAACCTTGTATATAACTTTGCGCTGCGTAACAACATCCTTTTCTGCTGGCATACGTGCTATTTATTGTGTTGCACAAGGATCGCTGCGTGGAGGATTAAAAGCGTGTGGGGCCAGTCGCAACCCCAAGCCCGTCCAAGCGCAAATGCCCACATTCTGCCTGCATCCGAAAGCGTCTTTTGTGACTTGCTGCTGCGCTTATTTGTTCAGAGCTCACAACTTGCCTGGGATTCTCTTTCAGTCTTCGAGTATGTTCAGACGAGTTCACTGCGGTGCGACTTTGTTCAGCTGAGCCCGTGGCAAAAAAAACTCTCTCTGCACGCTAGCTACCGTGTTACAGGGTGATATTATAAAACCCGACTGTCTGCCAATAAAACATGTACAGATAGGCCGCATATGCCACGTGCTCGGGCCAAGGATCAGCAACGAGAGCGCCAGCCGCAGCCGGCTCTCGGAAGATTACAAGGCTTCGCTGTTTAAAAGGGTAATATAGGGGCCTTAGTAGATGCCAATACTATCTTGCGGGCTCCTTATCATAATTCTAGTATAGTGGGCCCCATAGCCCCAGTCGGAGGCCCCCATATTATCGGATTTAGTTTGGGGTGAAGGGATACTTGGGGTCTCTGTCAGGGCAGAGGCGGAGTAACTTGTGAAAACAAGTATTTAACTTTGCGAGCTGTTTTTTTTTTTTTTTGGGGGGGGGGGCGGGGGCCGGGAGCGATTTGAGCTGCATGGGGGTTCAGAATCAGGGATTTCGCGGAACAGTGTTTCGAATTTAGTGGGCTTATGAATCTATTAAGTTTCCTGGGTTTGAGTTGTAGGGTTTGGCAACGGTGCGGGGATTTGGCGTTTGGGTATCGTTAAGGGTTCACGAGTGTGCTGTGCACCATCTTCTCCAGTATGCAAGGAGTGCCTCTCGATGCACAGCATACACGGGGCGAAAACAAACAGCATGACACACAACTTGCGGATCAGCCACGGGCTGTTTGCAAGAACCGTGGGCGTAGAATAGCTGTTTGTCTCGGACCAATATCTCGTGCAGATCTTGCTGCCATGGCTAGGTGGCATCTCTCTCTCTCTCTCTCTCTTTCTCTCTCTCTCTCTCTCTCTCTCCGTATCTCATGGGTTCCATGCAAGATAGGTTCGTGCCCCAAAGCAGAGACCTCAAAGCGCAGTCGTCAGGCATGTCCGAGTTGCGAGAGTGTAAAGCCTGCGCTCTCAATGACTCTTAATCCTTCAGAGTCCAAAACCATGAGCCTGCAACCCTGTGGTTTCGAGTCTTGGATTTGGGTTCATAAAGCGGCCTGCAAAACCGTGAAACACATGTAAGTTGCCGAAAGCTTCTTGGATTCGGAGTCTACTGCAGCTAGAGCGTTCGTTATTTTATTCTAGCCGGAATGCCGCTGCATAGAGTCATAGATATCTCCGCAACTTGTAATATTTTTCGAGTCGCACGAACTGTAATTGCAGGTGCTACAATGGGAAGCAGCAGGGGGTTGCCTCCCTACCTGCCAGCCTGAGTTCGTGATCTATGATTTCAGGCAGTAAGTATCAAACTTTCAAGCATGGGGTCTTGAGCTTCGGCTACAAAGCTCTTAGACTGGGATCGCAGATCGACCCTGTATCGCAAAACATGAAATCTTGTTGATTTTTGTTTTTTGCAACACCTGAGCGCAAAACTGCTTTTTTGCGGGGGTGAGGCTCAGGGCTACAAGCTTTGGTGCAGAACAGCGGCTGTTGCAAATGCAGCAAGCGCCCACCAGTCCAAATCGTGTGCGTGCTGCTGGTGCGTAGCAGTGCAGGCTGGAGACCAGTTCAAGATTGTAGTACTGTAGTTGGTAGCGGGGCTTACGGGCTTAGGATTTCGATTTAGTCAGGTTATAAGTTAGCTTGTTTTCGTCGAGTCGTCGGGCAGGCTGAGATGCGCAGCTTGGATCCTTGCCTGCACTGTAGCGGAAGGTGGAGAGCAGTTAGCGGATGCTCTAAATCAACTATGGGATAACCTGCAAGGTATTCATCAGTACTCAGTACGCGCTTACTGTGAGCTCGTCATGAACCGTCAACTCTACACAAAGTCGTTCAGGGCACGTGATGTAAGAATGCTGAACCAGAAGAGCTGTAAGCCTTTCCCGGGAGGTCCCTGCGAATCTCGTGTAGCTGTGAACATGGTCAAGGGTCGCATATGAAAGTCTTGACTTCAAGGTTTCTCATGTGCGGCAGTTTGTTCTGTTGGGGGAGGGCTCTCCGAAGCTTTCACCCTAGCAAAGGGGGGGAGGGGTGGCGGCGAGATGAGACCAGGCCCAGCCGATGATTTTGGCAATCTTGTTTGAAGGGCTGTGGTGCAGTGGCGTTGCTCCATGCGCTTGGATTTCCAAGAAGCTCTGAACTCTTCCCGGAGTTGAATTGGGCTGAGTCAAAGAACACAGTCGCACCCCAAGAATACGACCCGAGCCCGGAATCCTCGAAATCGGCCTTAGGCACAGGAGCTCAAGTCGGAGTCCGATCGCAGGATGCAGCTGCAGCAGCGCCTGGCCTCTCGCCTAAATCTTGAAGCAACACCCACCCAGAATCAGAGCTGAGGGGCAAGAGAGGCTATCATAAGGCTGCATTATGCTTCATGTTGTGCCGTGCTGGTGTGCATAGAAAGGCTTATCGGTTTTGAGTTTATAGGGTGCAAGTCTGTGGGGCAACGGGTAGGTGGAGCGTGTTGAAAGAAATCAGACCTCATAATAGACGCAAAACCCCATGATTGGGAAACATGTCTGGCCCGAGATGGCTCAAACAGAGGATTGACTGTTAAGGTTTCGGGTTTAGGCTTTTGGCTTCGCCTGCATGACTTCGAAGTGTGTGCTACCGACGCTCCCCATCCCGCAGATGGCACGGTCCCGACATGAAGACACGTCCCAAGGCCGAGGGCCCAGAAGACACCAAGGTTTACTATTCAGCCCTGTCCAAGCACCTTGCAACCGACATGTTTCGTGCGATTAGTTTATTTTTGCTATTTCTGCCATTATTATTATTGTTGTTGCTGCTACTACTACTACTACTACTACTACTACTACTACTACAACTTTTCCTTTTCTTGCCTGCTGAGCCGAGGAGGGGTCGGGAGCAGAAGCGAAGTCAGATCTCCAGCAGGCCCGGCTGCGTGTTTTTCCTGATCCCAAAACCTTTCATGTCCATTAGGCTATTAGGGTTCAGGGTTTACCGGGCGAAGTCGAAGCCTGTTGCAAAAAGGGAACGAGGATCAGGCTCAAAATGTTCAGTTTGATGCTATCAGTTTTTTGAGATGGGACATCTACGCTTTGCAGGTCCATGTCCAGGCCATTCTTCAAGATCACGGCCTGAAGCATCGAAGAGTTGGCCTTGATTCAATCACAAGAAGCAGTATGGGACAGCCCGCGGTAATCCCTAATAGCATCGGAAACCAGAGGGATGAAAAGGGAATGGCGCCAAATTACGCTGAATCCTGACTGGCTTTCACGTTCCTTGCATGCATTTGGCTCAGCATTCCGGCAGCGACCGCATGCTCTATTCACCTAGACCGGCCTAAGCCATGGTTCAACGATGGGACCGGCGGCGCAGCTGCCCATCGAACCAGAAACGGTCCGGCGAGGCGTGGCGTGAGCTTTTCACGTTAGGGGATGGTCTCAACTGTGTGTGCTGAGATGCGGATCACCCACTCCGAGTCCTGCCAGGACCCCTTACGGAACCTGCAACGGGACGTTGAGACCGCCCTGCTCTGGAATCAGCCGCTTGCAGCAAGATGGACATTGGCTTCAGTTTCTCTTAAATGCGCATAATATGAGAAGGCACACAGTCGCCCGAGATCTGATATTCAATTTTCGCACGCAGAATTTCGTAGCCGACCTGGGAAGCCACAGATGTCGCCAGATGAGGCACCACAATGAGATCCTCTTGCTGCAATTGCAGCCATGGCCTGAGGATCATGCCGAGTAGGCAATCTTGTTCGCTGTTGGTATCTGCTGCCACTGGTAGCATAGAATCTGCTGCGGTGATGCCGGGATGATCCTCGTTCACACGAGCACAATCGCGTCCTTCTTTTGGCCACTTTTGACGATGTACGGTGCCGATGGTGTTGCGTGTGTGTAAGTAAGTTTAGGCTCGTGATGAGACAATCTGGTTGCAAGAGTTTGTCAAGCCGGTACCAACCCGGTTAAGTCAAATCAAAAGCCCGTCAGCCTGAACTAGATCCGAAGACGGCCGACTGCCGTGTACACCCTGCCTGATGTACGCCTTGAGCCGAGAACTAAAGACAGAGACGGGCGCCCCTTGGGCAGAGCCAATCAGGTGCGTGAGGCTCATGCGGAACAATGACTCTTTGAAACTCAAGCCTCTTGGCTGGAAGCATCTTTCGGCCCTGGAAGTGGCTTTGGCATGGCTTACGACTTGGAAGGGGCATGTGCACCGATCTCGCACGCCTGTCCTTTTGCCCGGGCCTAGGCTGGAGGTCGGCGAGCACGAGCTTTGGAAGGAGAGGGAGCGCTCCCTCCATGAGCACCAGCTGCCACCTGGTGGCACTTTCACTCCTCCTCGTCTCGCCTTTCCTCGCAGTGCCCAGGCGACTCATGGCGGAAGCGGAGGTCGAGAGGCTCCAGAGCCAGAGGCAGGCAGAGAGAGAGAGCGAGAGACAGAGACTCCCCGCCGCGCTGCGGCACACCGAACGCCTTCCCGGAAGCGCCGAGGACAAGCCAGCTTTGGCTCAGGGGGGAAGCCTAGAGACCTGGTAACTTTACCTAGCGTGTGACAGGCCCCGTTTTGTTGTGCATGAGACTCGCTGAGTGGACCCCCAGTAGCAGACGTAGATGTAGTTTCACACTTTGAGGGGGAGGCTCGCGGACACCAAAGCCTTAAGTACTTGGGCCCCGTTCGGTGCCGGAGCACGTTAGTCCAGCCTGCTTTTTTCGATGCCAGAGCAGCCCCCATAACACGTCGCTGCGCAGTACCCCTCAACGTGGGGGAGAGCAAGGTGGGGCACAGTGTTTTGTAACTTACGCACTAGGCCGTCTTTCGCCAAACACCGCACCTTGCAAATGCTCCGTAACCTTGCAGTGAAACCCGCCTAGAGGGACTAAGGTATGCAGTTTTGGTAGCCATAGGGGCCCGGAGATGAGGCCGGGACGCACGGGGTTTAACCAGGAGCCAACTGTGTAGTTCTCTGCCATAGTCAGGAAAGACCCCGTTGCCAGCCACTCCATAAACACAGGGGGTGAGCTGGGCGGGCCTTTGGCCTGGGGGGGCGCGCGCGCGACCCCTACGCCCTGCAGAAAGAAAGACAGAGACAGAGACAGACCGAGGAAGGGAGAGAGAGCGAGGGCTGGGGAGGGCTCCACTGGAGGTTGTGCCGTCGCGGCTTCCCGCGGGATGCCGACCATCTGTATGCGCTCCAAAAACGAGTAAAGACACAGATACCGGAAGAGTCACAGCGAGCGACTTAGGCATTGATCCACGATTGTCGTTTGCCGGATTGCGCAGGTTGTCCCATCGCGGCTTGCCGCGGGATGCCAACCATCTGTCCAGTGGCAGTGGCACGGACGGCGAAGGGAGCGAGGATGCTGCGAGGGAGAATGAATCACGTGACTGTTTTGATTTTGAGTTGCTACTCGACGAGACCCGCAAGCATGCACATGCATGAACCAACATTCGAAAATGTGCACTTTCTCAAAAGCGAGTTATACTCCAAGACATCCTGCATGATCGCAGGAACTTTTGGCGACCGAGAGCGTGCTTTCACCTGCACTGTTGCAGCTGATCCCCGAAAGCCACTGCGATGACCACGGCGGTGATCTGCACATCGCCTGCAACACTGATCCGTCTGGTGCCCGACACTGCTCCGGATGCTTGAGACGATGCCTCAGGCCCGCGACATTTCGACATGACTGTGTGGGCACTGCACAGTGCCTTGGGCAGCAATCCTTTCTTTGCATTTTTGTTGCACTTCTTTCTTCGGGGTGCTTGCAGCCCTCCTTACCTGAGGAACCAGGAACAGGAAACTCCGTCGGACATAGAGCTCTGGGCTTAGCACCTGCCTCCTGGGCGCGCATGGTTTATCTGCGGATGTCGACGCTGCCGAGGCGAACCAAGAGAAGACCAAGCTATTGCAGCACACAAGCCCCGGACAGCGACCAAGAGGAAGATGAAGAGTGCACATTGGAGTCTCTCGCGTCGGAGGCGGGCTCTTGGGCGGAGCTGGGCATCCAAAGGTCACTACTGTAGCAGAAGCTCCTGTTTCGCTTTGTGGAACCGAGACACGGTACATGCTGCAAAGCCTCACCCGAAGGCCCTGGGAGCCAAAACAAGCACCGTTGTCGGCGATGGGGAAAGCAACCCGTCCGACCTCCACATGCACCTCAGCTTATCCTAATGTCAATTGCCTGCTTGCGTTGTCTGCCAGCAAAATTCATGGCTCTGCGTCAGGCCGGACCTATTGCGGCGGTACCTGAGCGCGGCTTGGTTGTGAAGTGGCCAGTAGCAGGGCTGTCGACAAGCTGTCGCCACGGTCTGCCAGGGAAAGTTTAGATTTAGAGACTCGTTGTGCCTAACAGGTGCCGGACTTGCTCAGCTGGCGCCTGCTTTCGCGAAGCACCAGCAGCCGCGAGGCCCGCTGCTGCCTCCCTCCATTGGCCGCTGACTGAAGATGTGCAAATGCTGTTACCAGGCCTTGCTGGCTCACGTGGCCCAGATGGGCAGCATGGACAGGCTCGGAAGCTCTCGGATTCAACGGACAGAGCCCATTCTTTCGAATGTCGACACCATAAACCCTTTTCCGGAAAGCATCCGTTTTCCTTCGCGGACGAAGGGACGGATGAAACATCATGAAACAGCGCCGGCGAGAAGGAATTATATAGACACAACCAAACAGAACAGACAGAGCGAGCGACGCGAGGAGTGCTCCACGGTTGCTGTCTGATGGATTGCGCAGGTTGTGCCATCACGGATTGCAGCGGGATGCCGGACATCCGTCTGGCGGCAGCGAAGAGATCGAGGACGCTGCACAGACGAATCACCGAGACCTCTTTGATTTTGGCCTGCTACTCGATGAGACCTGCAAGCATGCACAAGTTATGTACTTGCATGGTGTGAACCGTATGAACCAAGATCCGTAAACATGCCTGCACTTTCTGAAAAGCGAGTCAAGACTTTGGCAGCCGTCCCAAGCCTCATCCAAGAAAGCCTGCGTGATCGCAGGAACTTTTGGCGACCGAGAGCGTGCTTTCACCTGCACTGTTGCAGCTGATCCCCGAAAGCCACTGCGATGACCACGGCGGTGATCTGCACATCGCCTGCAACACTGATCCGTCTGGTGCCCGACACTGCTCCGGATGCTTGAGACGATGTCTCAGGCCCGCGACATTTCGACATGACTGTGTGGGCACTGCACAGTGCCTTGGGCAGCAATCCTTTCTTTGCATTTTTGTTGCACTTCTTTCTTCGGGGTGCTTGCAGCCCTCCTTACCTGAGGAACCAGGAACAGGAAACTCCGTCGGACATAGAGCTCTGGGCTTAGCACCTGCCTCCTGGGCGCGCATGGTTTATCTGCGGATGTCGACGCTGCCGAGGCGGACCAAGAGAAGACTAAGCTATTGCAGCACACAAGCCCCGGACAGCGACCAAGAGGAAGATGAAGAGTGCACATTGGAGTCTCCCGCGTCGGAGGCGGGCTCTGAGGGCTTCAATTCTTGATTTGGGTAGCCAGCTGACACCCTCTATCCGGAAAGCAGTTGTCCGGATTGGTTTTGCAGCTGGCTGGGGTTGACACCATGTGCAGCAGAAGACTTGCATGCTCGCCGAGCAGGATGCCGGGCAACAGCCTGGTAATGATCGGCAAGCTTGGAGCCCAGGAAAACCAAACAGGCGAGCCCCAGAGAGCCAACTGAGTCGAGTTGCATGTCCAGGCGGCCGCTTTCTGATTTTTCAGCAATCCTGCAAAGGAGGGGGCGGCATGACAGCTCTCGAGCTCAGTTTGCTACCCCCGAAGACCTGAATCGAAGCAGGAATCGTGCAGCGAGAGAATGCTTTTGATGTTCGAGATCCGAGAGGTCCCAGCTTTCTTGCCTGATTGAACCGTACCAGCTTGAGTTACAGACCCTTCCCCCACCAGCACCAGCGACAACTACAAGGCACTAGGGCCACTAGGGCGCGTGGACCTGGGCAACCTCCTTGCCGGGCTTGAACGCTTCCAGCTGAGGCCTCAGCCAAGTCAGAGGATGGCGACGGCCGTGTTTGCATCGACGAGGGCGGGCTGTCGATCTGTGCCAGTGAGTCTGAGCGACTCGCCTTGACATGGTGCTGCCATGGCAGGTGTGGTGCCCGGTTGTTCCTGAGTCAAGCAGTGCCCGGCAAGGTTCACGGGATCAAAGAGTTCCTCCCACAAACACGACCGGGCTCGCCAGGCGGATGCCTCTGCTCGCAAGGCCCCGGCGGCCCATTCCCTCACAGACACGGCAGGTAGTTACGAGTGAAACAAGACGAGCCCAGCTTTGTGGTTCGTTGCAGGAGATCTCGGCCACGATGTGGTCCTACTCCCAGACGGCAGCTGGGCATCCAAAGGTCACTAGCAGACGACGGAGTGATCCGTTACATGCTCAAGAGCCTCAACCCAAGGCCCTCGGAGGCGTCGAGGTTGGCGGAGGGCAATTCAACCCGTCCGACCTCCATATGCACCTCAGCTTATCTTTATGCCAACGGCCTGCTTGCGTTTTCTGTCAGTGCCTTGCGACGACATTTTCCTAGATCCAGTGCAATGAGTGGCTCTGGCGAAGAAGCCTCAGGCCCGACCTCTTGCGCTACCTGAGCGCGGCTTGGTTGTGAAGTGGCCAGTAGCAGGGCTGTCGACAAGCTGTCGCCACGATCTGCCAGGGAAAGTTTAGAGACTCGTTGTGCCTAACAGGTGCCGGACTTGCTCAGCTGGCGCCTGCTTTCGCGAAGCACCAGTAGCCGCGAGGCCCGCTGCTGCCTCCCTCCATTGGCCGCTGACTGAAGATGTGCAAATGCTGTTACCAGGCCTTGCTGGCTCACGTGGCCCAGATGGGCAGCATGGACAGGCTCGGAAGCTCGGATTCAACGAACAGAGCCCATTCTTTCGACTGTCGACACCATAAACCCTTTTCGGAAAGCATCCGTTTTCCTCCACGGACGGAGGGACGGATGAAACATGATGAAACAGTGCCGGTGAGAATAAACTGTCGGTTGCTCGCTTGTATACTGGAAGCGGCTTCCACCTATAGACAGGGTCTCACATGTAAAGTCAGGAGTCTGTTCTGCGCTCGGCTGTGTTGTCTTTTCCGTTCTTTATGCTGTGCAGGCCAGAGGCAGTTCTCGCATTTCTGGACAGAGAGAGGGTGTGGCTCTGCACCCCCGATCTATCCTTTGAAGTAGCCTGTGACGGTGATGCCGAGCAGCAGAAGGTCTTCCACTGCCTCCTGGCTTGTTGAGCATGCGGCATGCTTCACAGCCAGCACATCCGCCCTTCTGGCAGTAGCCGACCCCTCATTCTCAGGTCAGCGGTGGCACGCGGCCCTGGCGTCCAAGTGCAACATCCATTTCGCCGAATGCTACGTTCACCACCTCGTCGGCAAGGACCTCGACAACTTGCTTCGGCACTGCCGGAGTGCGGATGAGTCCGTTACTTTTGCTGCCAGTTATTTGCTTGCAAGACGTGCTGGAGACGGCCTTCCTTATGTACAACGCCACATCGCAGAAGCCTTTCTGATGATGATGGAGGAATTCCATCACATGGGCGCCAACTGGAAAGGGATAGTTTGGTGCATACGTCAGATTGCAGATGTATTGCACGCACTGAGCCAGCATCAGCGAAAGAACATGATGTCCTTGCTGGTTAGGCTGCTGAAGACAGCTGAAGTGTCCTACGTTTGCAAAAAGCCCATGTATCATGGAGTGATGAAGCTCTGGTCCGCAGATGACGATCCCTCTCGAACCTTCGCAGACGTACTCCACGAGCTTGGGATTTTGGCAGAGTCCATCCGAGATAAGAGTCTGAAGACCGCTTTCGGGCGTCTGATTGCTGGCAGCAGCTGAAAGCTGCCTCCAGGAGCTATGTGCATCGAAGAACTTACTGCGCACGTGCTGCCCGGGCCCGAAAGCATGTCTACACTGTCCACACTCTGCTGCAATGGAGGTCTGCAGTACTCTCGAAAGGTCGGCGTAGCTCCGCGTGAAGATCCAGGCTTAGAGCTGAAGACAGGACATACGGGGCAGCCTTTCGAACGGTGTGCTGCTTGAGAAGGCTTTCTCCTCTCTTCATGTCGATCGACTTTCAGGATTGGGCTGACTGGTCCCCTGCGAGCCCCATTACTCTGGGAACAAGATGTGGAGTCGCAGCATCGTGCCCCTTGCAGCTCGCGTTGTCGCTTGTGCAAAAGAGGAGTGGGCGCACGCTTGATCAAAGGGCTAAGCCTTAAAGCCTTGGGGTGTGTTTGTTTGTTAAACCCTTTGCATGTATGGTTATATTATATACATATACTCGCAAGTGCATAAGCACATATATATATATATATATATATACACACACACACACACAGGGTACTCCCCCCATGTGCCCACACATTTGTGCCGCTTTAAGAGAAAGTCTCTGACTATCTCTGACTTTCGTATGCCTGGTCAAAAACCAACTGTGCAGTAACCCCTCCCCCCTATGCTTTCAAGCGAGGTGGCTAACAGCTTCAATTTTGTACAGCAGCCCGTATAGCGGAGGCCATGCCGGAGCAAGCCTCCAAAATTTATGCGTCAGCCGAAGAGACGCCGTGGGCTTTGAAAGAACACGCCGCCACCGAACTGCTCGCACAATCATCATTATCTTATCCTGGCTATTGTCCCCGGTGCTGCATTCAGCTTCAGGCAGTACCCCCCGCACGCCATGCCGACACTGATGCGGCCATAGGGGGAACGCCTATTTGTGCCGTTGGCGGAGGAGGCTCCCCCTGGCTTGCCGCCGGTGCGCGTGTGCGTGTGGATGGACTCCGGTAAAATGCCCTATCTCCTTGCTTCGCCCCCAGCTTGGTGCTTTTGCGAGGAGGAAGAAACTTTGGAGCGGAGAAACGAGCTGTCTTTCCAAATGACGAATTTAACCCGAGCTGGCTTGGGGGTACTCTATCTTCTGGTTTGGGGAGCCGGGCTCGTGGAGGCTCGGGTGGCACCGTGAAGCTCGGATAGAAGGGCCCGGCTTGTCGAAATCTACCGAGGCCAGGGTTTGTCTACAGGCTTCGCCTCGCGTTGCCGAGTGAGCGCCAAAAGGCGACGCCAGGGCTGAGATGGCGGCAGGGAACATGCTGCGCGGCAGGGAGCACCCGAGCCATCCACCAGCCCCACCATCAACACCATAACCACCATCATTATTTTATCACCAACGCTACCATAGCTGCCATGCCATATCTATGACTATCACTACTATCACCGTCATCGTCTTCGTCAGCAGCAGAGTCCAACATCATCAGACCCGTCCACCTCCTCATCATCAACATCTTTGCCTTCTCTCACGCGGCATGTTGTTCTGCTCCTCCTCGTCACCATCACGTTTACGCTTCCGTGCTGAAACAAAAATGTGTACCGGAATGGGGTCTTGTGCACATTTTCAATCTGTCAGGTCTCTAGGCATCTCAGGGCATTGTTATGGCGCGTGAACGCAAAGATGATTGCATTTGAACTGACTTTTGCGCTATGTAGTTGCATTAAGCCCAGCATAGCCCAGCCATCCCCTATTCTTCATAAATCTCGACACTTAATCGTAAGTTACATACTTGTGTATATTTCAAGAAAAACCCAACATCCGATTTTGCACTATTTAGCAAAGAGTACCATCCAGTTTATGCTTAGACCTACCAACTTCGGTGTGACATGCGGCGTGCGGGCGATATCACGAATCTAAGCAACTCCCACATTGCTCGCGCGTTTGCTTCCTGACTCCGGATTGCTCCTCCTTCAAAACCGCAACCCGCGGGCACATGAGAGGGGCTAGCATATAGTATACATATATATATATATATATATAAATGTGCGTGAAGTTTTGTTTTCGTATCTTCAGCTGGTAAAAGGCCTTTAACCATAACATAAGGGATGCTGTGCTTCAGGTTCATGTGCCTGAGCTTAGAGTTGTCGTTCTGAAGTCCAGTAGCTCGCCTGACCCGTTCGAGCGCGAGTGCTAAAATCACCAGGGAAGCGTTGCACGAAAACAAGCACCGTGATACACCACTGAACACCTAGATTATCATAGTATTCATCATTCTCGTCATAAGAGCAACAGTATTTGTAGAGTAGTCACAACCCGTTTATATTCACAATCGAAAAAAAGAGAAGCGAAGAAGAGAAGCGGTGTAAATCGCAAGCCTCAGGCCGAGCAACGGCTCAAGGCAATGCTGGCCGCGGCGCAAAACTCTGTAGCCGAGGCGACCGCCAAGCGCTCTGGCCCTTTTAAGGGGCTTCTTGGGGGGAGGGGGGAGAATTTTGGGGTTGACGGCTTATCAAAGGAATCAAAGGTCGAGGGCTTGGGATCCGGCGGTTTGAGCGTCGGGGTTGGGGGTTGGGATTTCAGTTCATTCCAGGAAAGGTTTAGTTAGGGAATGGATGCAGGCCGTTCGGGGTTGTAAGATGTTCAATGGGGCTACAACAGGTTTTTAAGGTTTCGGAGATCGGAATTGAAATCAAGAGTCCTTCAGGTTTTGCGACCCTGCAGCCCCAACTGCCCTCCATCATCGTTGCGATACAGACAATGAAGAAGTTTCACGCGCGGAGTGGGGTTAAATGGCAGGCTCGTATGCTTGGTCCTGGTACTGCCCCACAAACTCTTTACAGGCCCCTAAAGTAAAAGCCAGAAAGTTGGAATATGATTATCCTAAACCCTTTATGGTAAATTATAAGGTATCCTACCCTGAAACCATATTCCAACTTTCTGGAGTTCCCTTTAGGTCCTCGAATCACAGCTCGGGGCTGAGGCTGCAGGCTGAGACAGCAGCCCGGGCCTCCGAGGTGGAGCGTCTGGAGGGTACCCTGCGAGGTGGGTCAAGGGCGGGCCTAGAACCTCTGGAACCATGGCCCTTCAGGTTTTACAGGTTTAAGGGGGAAATGCAGGTAGCAGCCTCAGGACAGGGTTGGGACGTTTAAATGACCTCATTTCTGGCAGGACAAAGGTCGGAGATTGACGCACAGATCGTTTCTCTTCAGAGCGCCAACCTCGAGCGTCAGGATTCCGTCAAGGACGGGACGGGCATTCCGGAGGGTGCTGATCAAACGTACTCGTAGCAAGAGACGGTTGTACAGGTTGCTGTGCTAACGCGCTTGAAAACGAGGTTTGCGGCTTTGCAGCTGCTGGCGGGCATAAGTTCTGCATGAGAGGAGTCAGCTTAAATCATCCCCGAAGGAAAAGTACAAACGCGCCCATCTGGCTTGTGGGGGATAGTTCGTGTTTCCCGATATTTACAGATGAATATACCCATGGTCCACCTGGCTACTGTCGGACCTGGGAGCAAGAACTGGACCACTCGGTTCTGTGCAACCCATCTTCCCCCGCAGCTAAAGTCATGAGCTTCCCAGAGCAAATCCTGAAGCCCAGTCCCCCAAAACTCTAAAATCTATATAAAACTCTACACCCCATCTCCCTCAACGCGAAACCCCGTGCCCTGATAGCCTCTTTCAGTCACAGGAGCTTGGCCCGGCCATGAAGGCATTGGTTGCCGAGGCGCTTCCTGACTGCCCGTTTGGGGCACCTCAGGAATGGATGAATTTTGGGGAACCTATAGCCAGGATCCTACTATGTAGGCTACCATATTAGGGTCCCCTATTTTCGGAAACTCTCAGTGCATATTGGGTTTTTTTGTGCACGCGCTCCTCAGCATGCAACTGCTTGGGTTATCGTTTGCGGTCCTTGAGGCCTAAGGATGCTAGTATCTCAAGGCTCAACGTCATGTCCCGCGCGATGCCTACAATGCCCACAAGAAACAACGGGAGACAGACGGAGAGAGGTTTGTGTGCTAGTGCATGCATGCGGGGGGGGGGGGGGGGGAGGTGCGTGTGCGTGCGTGCGTGCGTGCGTGTGTGCGTGCGTGCGTGCGTGCGCGCGCGAGTGTGTGTGTGTGTGTCAGGATTCGTTCATGTAATTACGTCATGCACATACAGAGACAGACTGACGGACTGATGGACTGATTGACAGACCGACAGAGACAGAGCGAGCTGGACAGAGACGGACAGAGACGGACGGAGAGACAGACAGACAGTCAGAGACAGAGAGAGAGAGAGAGAGAGAGAGAGAGAGGGAGAGAGGCTCCAGTGTCCCTAGCCGTAGCCCTTGACAGACAAACGGACATACGAACATGCAGATACAGAAAGGAGTCCGTCAAAGAACTGATTCTAGCTGCTTCGGGACCCTAAACTCAGCCTGTTTCCCAAGCGAGTTTCACTTCATGGTGGCACAGCTGGCAAGATGCATAGTGTGCGACATGGAGCAGGTTCTTTGCACTTGAGTCGTTTTTGCTGTGGTCAGGAGCGAGACGCCGCGCAAAAGCAGCATTCCCAACTCCTTGACCGCATCACCCAGCAGCTGGCCTGCACAAGCAGCTTAGGGTTTGGAGTTTACGCCATGGAAGGCCTTCCGGTACAAACCTGCAGTAGCGAGGAGCATGATAAGCCTTGCGCGAGTTGCGAGAGTCACAGTGCTAAACCGAAGTCAGGCTCACCACTCGTGTGGACGCAGAGATCGTGGAGCGGCGCCAAACCGACGAGCGAACCGGGGGCAAGCTGGAGACCTTGCAGGAGTTCGGTTTAAGGGGAACAGGGCTTAAATTAGATTCGAAGCCCCAAATCATGTTAAACCGTAGGTCGGAAATCCGACACCAAAAAAAAGCCCTGCAGGAGGCCCTTGGTCGCGAGCAGCGTGCCCGTGAGGCGGCCATGAGCGAGACTTTCATGAATTTACGCAAGCTTCAATCTTATAAGCGCAGCTGTGTTTTTCAGATCATGTACTAGTAATATAGTAGCGTTTAGAGGGCTTGCTATGACTTGTCGCCGCCCCAAGGAGAACGGCCGGGCAGTCGGGACTTTGGCCACGCGACTGGACGGGCAGGAGAAGGTCCCTCAGCTGGGGAAAGAGTGGCTCTCAGTGAGGGCTCAAGGATTTAGCGGTGTTTATGGTCTTAAAGCCTTATAGTTCTCCCAGCTTTACCGAGAAATGGCGACAAGGATCCATGTCTTTAGACTTTCGGATATCGGAACTAGCTCGGCAGGATCTGGACCTTAAAACTCCAATGCTAAGCCCCAAAATCCCCAAGCATTATGAAGCCCGCGAGCCTCTTAGACCCACGAGAGAATACAAGACATGACACCACGGCAAGCAGTGGAAACCGGACCCCCTTCAACCCAACCCAACATACGAGATCCCTCGACACATCTAGATGCCCGAAGCCCTTAACTCGCTATTTACGGATTCAGCAGCCCTGCAAAGAGGCGCTTCCAGAGCTGGACGCCGCGATCAGGGCCGAGGTTTCCAAGTTAGAAGACTCCATGGCCTCCTTCCGGCAGGAGCTTCTGTGAACCAGCAACCCCAATCCAACATAGTCCGGCAACCCACTCCCACCTTAAATCCAGGCAGCGTAACCCCTACCTTAACCTACCAAAACCTACTTTTTTGTAGGGTCCCTATAAATTCCATATTAAGGCTAATATTAAGAACCTACAAAAAAGTTACTAAAAAGTAGGGTTTGGTAGGTTAAGGTAGGGCAACCCTGCAGGAGGAGCGGTCCGCACGGGAGGTGGCAACTGCGGACCTCTCCGGTGCGCAGGCGCGGAAGCACGAAGCGATGACGGAGGAGATCCGAAGAGAGCACGCAGCCCACAAGGAGGAGAAGCTTTTGGGCTTTAGGGGTTAGGGCAAGGGCCTATGAGTCTATGAGAGTTTAATGGTTGGCTTTCAGGACGAAGAAGCTTCAGGGAGGCAGGAAAGTCACCCATTACTCCTTCTCAACATCCACTTGCTCCCCTGATGGAACAACGGTTGATTTGTCAGGTCTTGTTCAATGCAACAGCCCAAGCTATACACCCTCAAGCCCTTCCACCCTTGCACCCTCAAACCATAAGCGCAAGAGCATGATGCCCGGACACTACTCGGCCCGGAAACCACGCCTTGAGTGTGAAACACCCACCCTTACCTCATCAAGACGTGCCTGCGTTGAGCGAGTGCGCGAGTCGAAATCCCAAATGCCCAAATCCCCTCCATACAGCTGCCCTGTGAGTGAATCGGCTTGCAGGGTTGATAACGAGTGTCGTCGAACCTACTTCTGCAGACCTCGCCAGGCTTGTCCGAGAGTGAGTGTCAAAAAAATCCCCTCCATAGGCCCCAGATGCGATGCCTGAAACCCAATCCCACGCAGGAAAGCCGGAAGTGGGCCTTGACGATGGTCGAACGCCTCTCTGAGGACCTTCGAAAAGAGAGGGAGGCTCTGTTGCTGGGCGGGTTAATGCTAATGAAAGTTTTTTTCTATGATTCTATGTCTATATTCAGTACTACTCCTTTTTGTAGTAGGTAGCTGAGTGCAGTATTCGTTGTTCAGACTACGTGTATGAACTGTGTATGTGTTTTGTATGAAATGTAGATCAGCAGATGAATGAATGAATGTATGTCTGACACCCGCGCATTTATGTATATATATATATATATGTACAAGTAGAAAATACATATACTTGCATATGTAATACAAACACGTTTGTACAAACACCTAAACAATTATCTACGTACATAGAAGCAAACGTTCATGCGCTTGCTGCTCTCATTTGTGCCTCTGTTTGTAGTTCAATCCCCTTAATACAACCCTACATACCTCAATCCGAAACTGAATCCTGAACCTTACCTTGAACCTATATCCCAAGCCCCGTTCTAAGTGTTAAGGCGCCCACTTACAGATTCATGGGACTTCAACCGGGTCTGCATCAAACCCTTGCGCCCTACATCTCAGGTTCGACGAGTTGAACCGGCGCTGCCAGGAGGTGTCCACGCTGAGCGCGCAGCAGATGCGGGCCGAGCTTGCTGTGGAGGTCAAGCGGCTGGAGCCTTGGGTCATACAGCTACGGTGTATGTATATACAACTATATATATATACAGAGAGAGGATGATGTACTATGTTAGCCAGGGATTATAGGATACAGGGTGGATCAGTAAAGTCGAGGCTTGAGAGATTTACTATAGACTTTATAGGTGTCAGTGTAAGCCGTAAGCTTTCGGGAGCACTCAGAGTGAGGGTGTGGGGCTTCATTGTTAGGTTTTCGACATGCGAGCTCCACCAGCTCTGTAGCTTGTTGGAGTGTGAATATCAAAACGGAAGGTAGTTTTCGGGCTAGGCAGCTGCATCATTTGGGTTTAGACTTCAGTTGATAGAGATCAGCAAGCCAAGAGCCTCTCCGTAAAGAAGGGTGTATCAGGGATGTATACGGTGTAGGGCATTGGGAAAGGGTTTTGATGTTAAGATCCGAAATACAATGGCGAAGCCGAGGGCCCTGCGCCCGGATTCTCCTTCAGAAAAGAGTGCCTGAGCCTAAGACCCCGAAACTTTTGAAACTTGAAAGCTCTAAATTCCTGACGCCGGTCTCATCTTTTCTGTTTGAACTCAGTTGTCCTGCGCCTTTCCTGCCTTGTGCGCCTTGCGAGCGCCAGAAAAGCCTCAAGCCCTGAACTCCCACCGTTTTGTGTTTTTCCCCTAAACCCTAAACCCTAAACCCTAAACCCTTCCATCCCAAAGGCCCCCAGAAAAGACAGCTCAGGACCAGGCCTTGCCTGGGCTCGAGGAGAAGTTCAAGGCGGCACTGATACTATGCTATTGAGACCTGTAACTCAAAATGGGTAAGATGCAGTTATACGATATCAAACTTATGATGTACATCACGTCATATGTAATTCATGGCTTTTAATACCCAGTATTACGCCTAGATGATACAATGCGAACAACACCAATAGCAATAGTAATCGTAGTCGTAATACGTAGTAATAGCAATGGTTGTAAGTAGTTGTAATGTTACGAACATCGAGTAATAGTAAAGTAACGAACAATAAGAAATAGTGATAGCAATAGCAATAGAAATAGCAATAGGAATAGCCCGAGTACCAGCATTAGAGTTTATTGGAACTGGAGCTAGCAAAAGTAGTAGCAGTAGCAAAAGACACTAGTAATGGTATTTGTACATGTAAACATTGTGCTGCACCTGCCTACAGTGTTTTCCGAGAGTGGGCCTCAACAAATCACAAAAGACTACAATAATTTAAGAGTATGCTACAATAAGAACTAACTAGTGCCAGAATACAATCTCACCAAAACATCAGACTTGAACATGTTGAGAGTTAAAGGACTTCGGCATCTGTGTTTCACACCTTTCCTGCCACTTCGTCTGTGTTGCCGCACTCCTGGCCCAGGCTCTAGGCAATTGATGGGCCAGGTTTCTGCGTCACGTTGAATACAGCAGGCTTTTGGAATCATCGTGATTCCTAATCGCGTTTGGTTAATTAGTTTTGGTTTGTTCACTCCTCCCCTTTTGTGTGACGTGTTCTTGTCTCTCAAGTTTTCCGGGCTCTGCTAGAAGGCATGTTGTTGAAGGGCATATTCTGCCTGTCTCCAGCCTTGCGCATATCCCGGTATCACGTCGCTTGCCAAAATTAGCATGCAAGATCTTTGCCTGCCAGAATTTCCGTTTGTTGCTGAAAAGTCCCCCGCCTCGTCGGGGTGTCACGTTTGGCTCAGGTGCTTCTGGCCCAGGAACGATGCCACCACGAGCACCAAGCCCAGGCGGCGTGTATACGTCGTTTGGGAAGGGCCAGCTTCTCCACGTCTGCCATAGCCATAATGTATTTCGGTCTGAGGGGCATGTCGAGGAACTCCTGGAAGCTTTGAGTCTTCCAGCAAGTTTATGATGCCTTTGTCCCCTGGAAGACGACCATCAAGGTGAGGCCGGACATCGTACGACTTGAATCGTACGCCCCAGACTCAAAAAACCACTCGGAGGCTCAGGCAATGAACGGGAATGAAAGGCACCCGTTCTGCAAAGCCTCGTTATAATTTCTGAAGTGAGCCCTGCACCCTAAACCCTATCTCAGGATTCCCTGCAATGCGGTCCTTGCCAGGTAGGAGGGAAAAAATCTCTGCAGGTGGCCGCCCAAGAGGTGAAGGCAGCGCTCGAGGCGCACGGTGAGTTGGCCGAAGCACTGGAGACTTTGACTACGACTTGGGCCCTTGAGTTTTGAGTTCCGGGGGTTTCGTCATGCCACTAATGCTGCCCTTCGAACAGGCTTGACATTTCGAATGCCAGGGGGAGAGAACGAGCGAGAGAGAGAGAGAGAGAGAGAGAGAGACAGAGAGAGAGAGAGAGAGAGAGACAGAGACAGAGAGAGAGACAGAGGGATTTGCATTATACACCCTTACCAAGCAAGCAAGATTAATGCAAATACGCGCGTGACTTGTTGTAACTTCACAGGTTTAATTGTTACAACACCGGCGGCCCTGCAGCGGTGCATATGTTTCCCCTTGACAGTCCGTCAGCCTAGGAAGGGGAGCATCTTTTGAGGTATTGCGAGCTCAGATACTATGCGGAGACCTTGTGGAGCAGAGGCGTTGCTATCAGAAGCCTCAGAACCTCCTCACACAGGCTGAACTGCCCACCTCAGATGATAGTGTTTGTGCTGTTCGGTCGACAGCCCCCAAGATCCAAGACGGGGGACTGTCGAGAAACTCATGCACGTGTCCTACGGAACATTGAAACCTTGGGAATTCTAATGACTCCCACAAAAGTCACTCTGCGAAGGATTCAATCTGAAGTTCACAACCCCTTCAAAGCCCCACAAACACAAGGTGGCCCATGTGGTCGGGGGGTCCGCCCAACCCCTCATGCCCTGCTGCAGAGACAGAGAAAGAGAGAGAGAGAGAGAGAGAGAGAGAGAGAGGGAAGAACAGAGCACACCCTGTTCTTGGAGTGGTGAGTCCTCTCTCTCTCTCTCTCCCTCTCTCCCTCTCTCCCTCTCTCTCTTTCTTTCGCCAGTCCTCTCTCTCTCTCTCTCCCTCTCTCCCTCTCTCCCTCTCTCTCTTTCTTTGGCGAAAGAGAGAGAGAGGGAGAGAGAGAGAGAGAGAGAGAGAGAGAGGACTCACCACTCCAAGAACAGGGTGTGCTCGAAGGGGTGGAACCTTCCCCAAGCCCTTAGAAAGTAGTTTTGTCATCAATATAACATGAGAAGTATGATTCAGGGTAGAGTATGGTTAAACCGACGACTAACATGGTAATTTGTGTGAAGGGTGGTATCGTGCGTACCGGCCCGAGTAGAGAGAGCAAGGTGAACAGTTGTAGGATGATCAGGAGGGTTAATGGCTTCGACTGGTAATGGCTGCTGCTGGTGAAACTTATACTCGTGTTTCTCTTCCAGCAGCCGCACCTATGCTGAAACGGGTTCTTCTGCAGGACACCTTTCGGTGTGAGTTCCACTACGGCCAAGAGGATGTAGGGCTTAAGGATCCAATGAGGTGTCAACTAGGCGAAGCCCCTGCAAAACTAGTTTTAGCCCTCCAGACCAGGCCGAAGACTTGTCCGGCCCAACACATGATAGGTATGTCAGGCACCACAAATCGAGACCTACCCTCAAATCCTGCAGCACCCGCCGACGAGCAGCCGAGGAAAGCGAGCAGCGGCTAGTGGTCCAGCGCCTTACAGAAGGCATGTTCTTGGTTGTCAGGGCTTCGGGACAGGGCCGGACGTACTGGCAAAAGCCGTTTTGCATCGTGTTCATGCCGGGAAGTTCCCATACGGAATACTACACAAGAGGAATCATACATAGGGTGACATGTAATTTAGAGGCAGGTACATGCGAAGAAAACTGACGCACAGTCAGCGGTTTGCATAGCTGATTTGTGCTCCTCCTCCGTGGCAATAGTCGCGGTGGTTATAGTTTTCGTTGCAGCGTTGGTGACACAAGTCGTGGAAGCAGCAGCAGCAGTTGATGTCCGAGAAGTATTTCGCAGGTGGCTCACAGTTGTCATCGTCATAGAGGCCCGAAGAGAAGGCTTCCCAGAGTATCCTCAAGAAGACAGGGAGTTCTGAGTTCTGAACCCTAGCAGCACCGCAATCTCCATTACCTAAAGCCGAGCCAGAAGAACGCGGAGAATAGACAGCCCCGGTCAGTGTGCCCACAGGGTGACTTTTACCCCTCCGGCGGGTTTGTTGCTTGCAGACTCAACTTCTCTTCCCGTGCTGTTGCCATGGCTGTGGAAATTGTCGCGAACCACAGGGCTTTCTGTGCTTTAACTTCCCGAGGAGCGGCTGTTTGTTGGGGAGATCCTGAGTTTGGTCCGGATCAGAAGAAAGCTCGAAGCCAGCTTGTTGACGGCATCGTCCATATCTGCCCGTCGGCAGCTGCTTTCGCTGCACTGAAGAACACGGGTTGCGTGGTGACATTTGGCCACCCCTCCTGGGGAGGCGACAGCCGGCCCGTGCGAGATCAACTGGCAGGTGGTGTGGTGAAGATCGCCGCAACGGATTCAGCATTTGCTGCCATCAAGGAAGACGGCTCTGTAGTGGTTTGGGGGAACCCGAACTGCGGAGGAGACGCGAGCTCGGTTATGCATAAGCTGATGCGCAACGTTGAACACATCTGGGGTAACGAGCGTGCATTTGTTGCCATCAAGAAAGACGGCTCGATTGTCACATGGGGTGACCGAGAAGCTGGGGGAGATTCCAGCGCTGTGCAGGAAGACTTCGCGGAGATCGGCGCGGCTCGTGTGGTGAAGGTGTTTTCGAATGAATGCGCCTTTGCAGCGTTGCGAGCAGACGGCTCTGTCATTACTTGGGGCGATCCAGACGGTGGTGGAGACAGTTCGAATGTATCTGAATTTCTGGAGGCAGGGGTCAAGGACATCTGCTCAACAGATGATGCATTTGCGGCTCTTCGCGACAATGGTCAGGTCATCACATGGGGAGATGATGCCTCTGGTGGTGGAAGCAGTGCTGTTCGTCAACAGCTCCGTAGCGGAGTGAAGCAAGTATCCAGCACGCGAGGCTCAATGGCTGCTCTCAAAGAAGATGGTACGGTAGTTTGCTGGGGTAACCCTCAATCGGGTGGAAACGCCGCAGCTGTAGCAGGGCTTCGAGCAGTCAAGGAGCTTTGCGCAACAAGGGCTGCGTTTGCAGCATTGAAAGAGGATGGAAGCGTGCATGCCTGGGGAGACGAAAAACATGGGGCTGATACAACAGCGACTGAAAGCATCCTCTCTTCTGGTGTCACGAAGCTGTTTGGCAACAACGTCTCCTTCGCTGCCATCAAAAGTAACGGCGGTATTGTCTCTTGGGGCGACCCTGCACGTGGTCCGCCCTTGGTGCATCCCAGAGTGCCCGATGTCAAAGGAATCTACGGGACGAAGTTCGCCTTTGCCATGTTATGCCAAGACGGGGATGTCATCACATGGGGTGACCCATCTTGTGGTGGAGACAGTTCGGCTATTGATGCGCAGCTCAAGGAAATTGCCAAAGCCGTGTAGGGGCCCGAAGGCTCAACACAGAACATGGTTTATTGGGCTATGCCAGGCTCATGCCTTTCGCACCACCTGCGGCAAAGATATACCCAGGTGTGCCCAGCCCAAGTGCGGGTTGACAGCAAGAGATGGAAAGCTGTATAAGAAGTGGGAGTTGTTTAAAGGCAAGGCTCGCCGTATTGTACCATGATGGCGGTCTTTATTCTTCTTCATTGATTCAATCACTATTCATTTGTTTTTGTTGTTTTTCTTTCTCTTTGTCTCTGTCTGTATACAAACACGCATATCTGTATGTATACATGTATATATACATACATACATATATATATATATATATACACGCAGAGCCATCTATGTATGTATCTGTCTACCTACTTATCTGACTTATCTATCTATCTATCTGTCCTGTCGACTTGTCCATCTCCATGTGTGCACACACACCTGCTTACATGTATATGTATATATGTATACATGTATACATGCACACATGCATGCATGTATGCATGTCTGTCTCATAAGTTATACGGAGGCCCTTTCTGAACTTATAACGTGTGTACAAACCAGGGAGAGATGTAGTTGTATGTGTACATATACATGCACACACTTATGCATGCATGTATACATATGTGTGTATGAATATGGGTATATGCGTGCATTTATGTATGCATGCATGGCTGTCTGCATGTATGTATGTAGATATGTACCCATGTATCTTCATGTGTATGTCTGCATGAATGTCTCTGCATGTTTATGTGCATCGCATGCATGTCTCTACATACAGCGGTACCCGCACCGGCCACAGTTGAGAACAACTCCCACACGTGGAAAAATAGCTGTAGCGACTGTAAGAGCAGCGTTCAGAGCTTGGAGGGGTGGGAACAATAGAATTCAGGTGCACCAGTCAGATGTGAAAGCTCGATGTCTGGCGGAACGGAAGCAAACCAGTGCAAAGGCACACTGGACGGAGAGGAAGTCAAGCAGCGATAGAAAAACTTATGCCAGATCGGTGCCGGAAGTCGTGCAGACGATGCAGACGACAAGCACTCAGCTCACGCTTCAGGACCTGCAAGTTTCAGAAGCAGCAGCAACAAAGACTTCTGCAACATCAACAACCACCAATACTACTACTCCGACGACGGCGACTACTACTACTATACTACTATACTACTATACAACTATACTACTATACTATTATACTTCTATACTACTATACTACTATTACTATTATACTACTATACTACTATACTACTATACTACTATACTACTATACTACCACTACTATACTACTACTACTACTACAACTACTACTACATACTACTACTATATACTACCTACTACCTACTACCTACTACATACTACATACTACATACTACATACTACATACTACTACTGCTGCTGTTACTGCTACTGCTGCTGCTACTGCTACTGCTACTGCTACTGCTACTGCTACTGCCACTGCTACTGCTACTGCTACTGCTACTACTACTGCTGCTACTACTCCTACTCCTACTCCTCTCCTACTCCTACTCCTACTCCTACTCCTACTCCCACCACTACTCCTAGTCCTACTACTACTACTACTACTACTACTACTACTACTACTACTACTACTACTACTACTTGTAGGCACCATGAAACCCTTTGCTTTGACTCTGCGAGGCCTGCAGCGCGAGAGCACGGCAAGGAGCGATGCCATGAAAAGGCTTCAGGGCCTGGAGTTTCCTGGCTCATGACTATTATAATTAGTAGTATAGTAGTATAGTAGTATAGTAGTATAGTAGTATAGTAGTATAGTAGTATAGTAGGATGGTAGTATGGTGGTATGGTGGTATGGTAGTATAGTAGTATAGTAGTATAGTAGTATAGTATACTTGTTCTGACAGGGTATTGGGGTGTGAATTGTCCTGTGTGGTTTCGGTTCGTTTGTCGTTCTTCCTTCTCTGTTCGTGTTCCGGGAGTTCGCAGTATATGGGGCATATGATGGGTTTGAGGCTTTTGGGTTCTGGGGTCTAGATTGTTTTAAGGGTTGGGCGTGTTGGAGTTCCGATTTATATGCGTGTTGGCTTGAGCATTTGGAGTGTTCGCGGGCTTTCTGATGAAGTTCTGCGGCTCATTCCCATCCTGTTCATGTGTCGGGTTAGTTGAGACCGTGGAGTACGGAGCAGAAAGAGCGTTGAGATTTTTCCCAGTTGCCGCGTTTGATATCATCAGTGTTGTTACTTCCGCTGTGTGAGCTACATCTGTTGGGCACATCTGTCCTGAACCGCCTAAGCCTAAACCTCGAACCGAAAACTTAATAGCTGGGTAGGTAACCTTTAACCGTTTGGGTTGTATATACTCCTACCATAACTGAAAAGGTTAGCCTTGTTTGGGCCAGTGTACTCAACCCCTAGGAGCAGAGTAAAGCCACAGGACGAAGCCGAAGCCAAACCTCGAAGCCAAGGATCGATGTTCAGAAGGTTCGCAGTCATCTGCCGATCCTCTTCGCCCCATCCTCTGCTTTCCGATAGGGTCGAACTAGGAGGGAAACCAAGGGTCCCAAGTCCAGGTCCGTGTGATGTTTTCGGGATGCTACGGCTTAAGATCTTCTCCGCTGGGGCCCTTGATTTCTGACACTTCTACATGGAAGCCCAGTTCGGGAAGCAGCTGTACATGCGTGCGGCTTCGCACGTCTTATCCATAAACAATTCGGATTCAGACAGTTTTGTGGATTATGCCGTGCAGAGAATTCATGTAGTTTTATTGGCACTCTGTGCATTGTTCAGTAATTTGCTTGCAACAGTCGTTGGCCGAAGCCGGCCACTGATGCAATTCGAGCAGGCGGTCAGCTACCTTCCTTGGAGCTTTCCGTTCTCGATACGAGCCCGATTCCTGCCACTGCAAAACAGAGGCGCGTGCTATTCACCAGTCAGATGACAGTCTGCGAAACTTGCTCAGCACTGAAGCCTTGCAGTCGGTGTGCGTGATGTGCAGCCATTCATTAGTTCCTCTGGAGCTCATGGATAATGTAGAAGTGTTATCAGGGAGAGTGAGCGTAGGTCCTGAACTGCAATTCCTGAACAATTATATTGCGACAGCACTGCAAAGAAATCAGCAGCAGCAGCAGCAGTTCAGCGTCGTAGACCTCCGCGAAGAAGCCACAAGCAACGAGCCAAACACCCGATGCTCCCGTTGGTCGAAGTCTTGAACCAAAGCTTGGTCCCCGGAAAGCTAAACGGCAAAAAGCCGAACACACGGCACCTTCAACCCTGCAACCTTAAAGCCTTGAGCCCTGCGCGCTAAATCCGGCGTCATGATGGCCGGCGATGGCGGATTCGGCTCCTGGTGGTGTCTCGATGAGGCACCGGGCCGACAGCTGCCAGTGGAGAGGACAAGCGTGGTTCTTGGCGGACTTCTGCAGGTGCTTTCAGGTTTCTTCAGGAGCATCTCTTGTCTGACCTCCGGCCTACTTCAAACATGTCCCACTGCATGTTCAAACTGGGTTGACAGAACACATCCGAGTTCCAAGAAGTAACTAGTTGACATGTGTGCAATTGTTGTTTTTGCTGGGGCTGTTCCTTCAACAAGTCTTCTTGAACGGTCGAAATGTCAACCTTTCTGCTCAATCCTCAACTTCTGTCCCTGCAGTTTCTAGCGGTACGCTACATCTTCGCGAGGCGTGTGTGCAGCCCAAGAACTTCCACGAGTCACTTCGTGCCAGCTGCACAATTCTGAACCCTAATTATTCAAAACCTTCCACTCCAAGCCCATGGCCTTCCGGTGTCTGAGAACCTCGGCCAACTCGAAGACCCCATACCACAGAGTTCCTCGCAACTCCAGGCCCTTTCAACCATGACCCGGCATTGGCGAAGCCGAACCCATGGAATCGTGAAGGGTAGGTTGGAGCCTTGCTGACCGGAGGACTTGGATCGTGCGCCATCTCAACCCGCTGCGGGAGCAAAGAGATCGATCCTGTGACTTTGAGGCCCGATGCAGGGCTTCTTTGGGAGTTTCGGACACGGAGTTTAGGGATGAGAGTTCATGTTTGGGTGTGCGAGACTTTGTACTTCACTCGGGCCGTATGGAAGTGTGTTCGCAGGGGTTCAGAGTGTCTGGATGATTGAACCGCCGAGGCCTTGGTGCCGCACACCTACATGTTCGGTTGCCCATCAGAAGTCCCCCCCCTATGATTTCAATCCGCAGGATCAGGTGTAGGATCCTTCGTATAGGAACCTCGAGAGGCCCGCTCCGTAAGTCTAATCATGCCAGCGTAGATCCCCAAACAGTGACGGTGACCATGACGACCACGACGACCAAGACGACAGAGACCACGACCACCCCAAAACCACGAGCGGACCACCAGGAGACCACTAAGAGACCACCAGGAGACCATCCATAGAACACCACCGCCATAAGATCAGCGAGACCACCGGGAGACCACTACCAAAATGCATTGCCCCTTGTACTGGTGGGATTCAATCGGTGCTAAAAGCCTTCCCGCATATTCTTCCCTCAAGTCCTGGCGGGATTCAGAGTTTTCGAGGCCCCAGAGTGGCCAATGTGTTGCCATCTACAGTTGATCTTGGCACTACGAGCGCATCCTGTGTAAAATAAGAGCATGTGAGCGCAAACAAAGCATTGCCGCACGACGGGAGCCATATCTCGGGTAACCGACCAGCGGGTGTGCTGCGCGGCTCACAACCCCTTCTCTATACCCGAACCCTATCGTGTGCACGATGCTGATTGGGCAACAAACACACCAGACAGGCTTACCCTTCGACCAGAAACCTTCCAAACCCTAAACCCTCATGTCTGCATGAGCCTTATAAACTGCAAACCTCTTGTATTGGCCCTTTGGTCCCGAAAACTATTCAGTCTTAAGCCCTACGCACCCAAAATGCTAACCTCTGAAACTACCTTGGAGTCGAGGTGCGACCACGGGCTACTCCTCGAAGTAGTGTTGCAAGCTTCAACGACTGGGGTCCTCCCGTCTCTTGGTCGGAGGTTTACGATCTAAACCCAGAAACAGAGGTGTCCAACTGCAGTTTTGTCAGGACGTAGTTTTGTTTTGTGGAGAGAATTCTGAGGTTCAAGTTGACTTCTCGGAGCCCGCAAGCGGTGTGTGAGCATGGTCCATGCTTGGAGTAGTTGAGTGCAGTAGCTAGTAGATGATCAGCCAGTGATTATCAGACGTTGGCGACGATGTGGATGGCGTGGTACTGAGTACGTTTATGTGCTGGCAACGACGGCCGTGAAGAAGAACACGATGCTGGCAGTGAGGACACAGTGTCACGAGGACACTATCAGTGATGATGACATTCGTACGACTTTGGCAGCGATGGCGGTGACGATGTTGATGGATGCCGGCATTCCATTATGTTCGGTTGTGGCGGTGACGATGTTGATGCCGTTCTGTTATGTTCTGTTGGGGGTCTTCCCTTTCATCGCCCTCCTCCTCCTCCTCCTCCTCCTCCTCCTCCTCCTCCTCCTCCTCCTCCTCCTCCTCCTCCACCTGGTCATCACCTATGTCCACTGCCATCAACACCGCCAGCATCAGTGCTACCATCTCAGCGACATCTCAAGCGTCGTGGCGGTGTGATCTCCACCACCAACTGCCAAGTTACGCATGCCTGTGATGACGCGAGAGTCCGTTGCACGCAGCCAATACATGACAGCACAGACATGCTTATTGTTTCCATCGCTGCCGCTAACCTAGACACCGTGCCATTATTGCAGTAGTGCTCCGCAAGCGTCGTCTTCCTCAAGACTTGCCACTCTCCCATTGCCATATCTAATCTTGCCTGATCTAGCCGACGCCTGCATCTTCACCGGGATCATGCCACTATTATCAACAGTTGCAGCAGCACGAGCTGCATCATGACCACCAGATTCAAGATCACATCACCCGCCTGAGTTGGTCGTCGTCATCCGTGTCATTATCATCACGACGTGATCACGAATCACACCAGTCTCATTGTCATACACAGAATCATCGACGTGGGTTTGTGCTTTAGGTCTTCACGGATGTGTTGCCAACCAGGCCAAAACCATAATGCCGCGATTTAAGTGGGCCCTCAAATCACGAAATGCTCACCTAATTGGTATCGTTGGCATTGTAACTGGCTTCAGCCATGCTCCTCCTCGCCATCACTCTTTCAATGTCGTCGTGGTTTCGGCTCGTTGCCAAGGACTTGGCTGGCCACATGGAGCTGGTCCAGGGTCCGCTCCCTCTGTCTTGCGGCATGCGAGGGCAGCCGGTTCACTGCATCAACCCAGCCACCGGGACAGACAACTCGGTGAAGCATGTGAAGGAGGCCGGCTGAAGGTGAGGGAGGTTCTTGATACAGAAGACCAGGAAAAGGCTGCCGAAGTGCGTTGGGGAGGTTGAACTAGGCCTCTCAGCTGAAGCAGTTGCAAGGTAAGGAAGCGAATTGCAATCGTAGACATGGGCAAAGACTACGCACATCTCAGAGCCTGCAGCCGGACAGCTGCGGCACCTCCAGAGCTCGTAAATGTCGAGTATGGCAGCTCCCAGTTGCAAGGATCGCTCGCCTCCGTTACTCATAGCCTTTGGTTTAGGGATGATGGTTTGTGATTTAGCAGTGTTGATAGGGTCCAGGGTGGATGATTTGAAGTTCGGGTTTGGGGGCCATGGGGTTTGGGCGTTTGGGTTTCGGGTTGTTTATCTGTTTGCTCCCGGAGATGCGCATGCAGGTGATCAGGGAAGAGAAGGCGCGGCGCGAGCGGCGTGCCCGCGGAGAGCCTGAGACTCCGACGGTGACGGAGGAGTCGTTGTCCTCTGTGATGGTACGGTGACGTTTTTTACATATATGGGGGCCCGGCCAGCCGCACTGGCCGCAGAGGTAGTATAAAATATGTTTGTTTAAATCCGTATATTTAAATCCCAGTATGACGTGATCTAGCCTTCAAGGCTGGAATGCTGGAGGGTTGAAGGCTGGAAGGGGTTGAAGGCTGGAAGGGGTTTAGGGCTGGAGGGCTGGAAGGCTGGAGACTGCAATGGCTGGAGGGGTTGAAGGCTGGAGATTGAGTGCTGGCTGGAGGAAGGCTGGAAGGCGTGAAGCGCTTAAACCCGAAACCCCAAACCCACGAAAGGGGTGGGAGGCTGGGTTGGAGCGGTTGAAGGCTGGAATGCCTTGAAGCCTTCCACCCTCAACCTTCCAGCCTTCCTCCAGCCCCAGCCCTCCAGCCTTCCAGCCTTCCAACCTTTCCTCCAGCCTTCCAGCCTTCCTCCAGCCCCAGCCCAGCAGCACCCGCGCCGACTCCAAATGGACACACGAAGGACGGAGGAGCCTGCAAGGGGTTTGGGGTTTGGAGCTTAGGGCTTCGGGTTTAGAGGCTGCGGCTTCAGGAATGGGTTCCAAAGGGTGCCGCTGCCTCAAACCCTAAAGCCAATGCCCTTAACCCTATAAGCCTTACAGCAAACACCAGAAAGTTGGAACATGGGTTTAGGATTAGTGCTAAGATCCCTTACACTTTAACTCCAAAACAGCTCGCAACCGTTGCGAATCTGAGTCGACCAACCCTCTTTCCCCAGTCTGTCCCACTCCTGTGCAAGAGTTCACCAAGGCTGGGATCCTCATCGTAACGTGGACCCGAATATCGAAATTCGTGTGTTTCGCACTTCGGACCGAAACCCGTCGTGGCCTTGCACGGAGCTTAGGCCTGTAATTCAATCATTTACCCTAATGCCTAAAGAACGAAAGCAGGAACGCCCAGTATGACTATGGCGGCGTTCGTGTCTTGAAGGGTTTTAGGATGTACGTGGTCTGTTTCAGCACTCACACTCGGACATGCCTGGGCGAGGACGTGGTCTGTTTAGGGTTGTGGGGTCTAGGGCTTTACGTTTTGGCCTGCTGCACGCTTTTCTTTGCGAACGCAGCCGCGCCTCCGTCGTGCTTGGCGCCTCCGGTGTTTGTTTCAATTGAAAAACAATAGAGGGCGAGAGAGACAAAGAGACAGACAGCCCTCCAGCCTTCCAGCCTTCCAGCCTTCCAACCTCCCTCCAACCTTCCAGCCTTCCTCCAACCCCAGCCCTCCAGCCCTCTTCCAGCCTTCCTCCAACCTTCCAACCTTCCTCCAGCCTTCCAGCCTTCCTCCAACCCCAAACCAAGCTGGAAAACTGGAAGGCTGGAAGGCTGGAAGGTTGTAGGAAGGGTTGGAAGGCTGGAAGGCTTGAAGGCTGGAGGGCTGGGGAAGGCTGGAAGGCTGGAGGGCTGGGTCTGGAAAACTGGAAGGGCCGGAGGGCTGGGAACCTGGAGGGCTGGAGGGCTGGGCTGGAGGAAGGCTTGAAAACTGAAAACTGGCTTGAAGGCTGGAAGGTTGGAAGGCTGGAGGGCTGGAGGGCTGGGGCTGGACGGCTGGAAGGCTTGAGGAAGGCTGGAGGGCTGGCTCGGTTTGGGTTGAACCTAAAGCTGAAAGGTTTGGCTTCTACCTGAACCCTAAACCCTTAAACCCTAAACCCCAAAATCCTAAAGCCCAAACCCACCAATGATCTGCCAATTTCCGGATATCTTATTTCGAGACGGGCCCGGGCGATGTTTCACGGAGGTAGTGTAATATACCTGTTATATCCGTGTATTTAAAAACAGACGCCGTAGCGGTACAGGGCTCTTGCGCAGCGGCGAGCATTAATTAGGCCACAACTTGCAGGGTGACAGACAACCGCCCCAAAAGCTGGGGCAATTCGTTTGTCCACTTCGTGCTCGGTCGAGCTTCAATCTCCTGTCTTCATGGCTTGCAGCCATGCACGCACATCTTCAAGCAGGGCTCGAGCCAGGGCTATGGTGGGTATGTGAAACATACGATACGACCTGAGCCCGAAACTGAGCGCATGACTATTGAAGACTCCGGAAACTCGAAAGCAAACCCCTCAAACGCTGAAGAATCTTCAGCTCTAGTCCTGAAGCCTTTACAGCTGCACCTTGCAGGAGGAGGAGGAGCAGGAGGAGGAAGAGGATCCGGAGGCAAGCGCTGCCCCGGAGGCTGGGGATAAGTTGCATTTCCATTGATGGCAGGTGGGGCTTGGTGCTGTTTATCTGGCGGGAAGCCAGCCCTAGACCAGAAGTTTGCCTCAGCTATCATCTCATGCAGCAGTGGAGCTTTCCTCGGCACGGTTTAGCTTGCCTGCAGTGTGCACTCCAAGCCTTCCCAGGCAATGATCAGTGGACTCCGAAACAGAGAATCCTAGAGCGTTGTTTGAACAGACCTTCTCTCAGAGGTTTTGGGAACCCTGAGTCCTAAACCGAAGCAATTGGAGGACGCTCTGCCAGAAGCTCCGGGAGATGCACGGGAGGCCCAGACCTCTCCTGCCCGGAAACAGAGCCTCCTCGAGCAGCTCCTGCAGCCGCTTTGATGTATTCGTGCGAGCAGCTCATGTAGGCGTCGCGAAGGTTGTAAGGTTTATTGGGGTGTTTGGGCTACTGTAGCATCCAAAGCCCAGACCTTGTTCCGGAAAACGCTCTGGTTCTACCTTCACAGCAGCTCATGAGCTAGCCCAGCCGGTCCGGAACAAGATTTGCGACAATCCTGATACTTGAAGATTCGAGCACGAACCTATATGTGCTTATTCCACAGCTCTTGGAACACAGGCAGCAGGTCCTCAATGAGTCATCTCTTCGCCGCTTCCTCCCGCAGCAGACGCTTTGCCCGACGACGGCTCTCAGGGATTTGATCCTCGGAAGCACCGGCCAAGTCGGAGAATCCCAAGTTGCGGACCATAGCTCAGACGACAACAGTTTCCGCTGATCCTTTGCCTTCCGTGAGAATGCCAGCATCGCATACCAGCTGCAGGCAGCACTGTGAGAAAAAACCGAAAATCCTGAACAGCTGCAAGGAACAGCCGGCCCCCTGCTGCTGAGCGGCCGGCTTCTGCTGGGGGCCACTGCGCCGGTTGTGGGGGGCTGCACGTGGCTTCCTGGAAGGAATTGTTACTCACAACCCTTAACTTGCCTCTGGCCCTTGAGCTTGCATCGCCTGGCTTGTCTGAGCGTGAGTGTCAATCCCTGGAACGCTGAAGCCAGAAGCCCAGGTCAGGGAGGAGTTCCCGGAGAATTTCCCCAGAACTGCCTGTACTGCGGCTAGGAGTCGAAGGCCGCGACTTTGGCTACGGGTCTCTGGACATCCTTCTACAGCCTCATATTTGGTTATCTAAGCCGTTAACGTCAACAATAGTATAGTATTCTGCTATTGTCGCTTTCGGCCCTTGGGAGGGCATTCGCTGTGAACACATCTGCATCGTTCGAGATTGTAGTAGTAAATCGCGAGACTTCAATCAGGTCCCGTGTTTTGTGCTTAGACCAGAAGCCATGCCGTGCAGGTAGCCTTGCAACTGACACAATGACGAGAAATTGTGTGTGCTAGCCGCTGTTGGCTCGATATTGGCCTTTAAGGCATAAAACTGCTATGCAAGAAAAACCCCAAACACTAAAGACCTAATTCCGTGCCTGCCCAGTGCGAGTGTGCGAGTCGAAAACCATAAAGCCCTAAACCCGGCCTATGCGGAGCCTTTCCTGCCTCGTGCGAGTGTGAGAGTCGAAACCCGGCCCCTGCCAAGGTCGTGAGTGCAAAAACATCCTTAATCCAAAGCCCAAGCCCGAACCCTATAACTGTACTAACCATTACTAACCGGAATCCTAATTATTTGAGGAATTTATTTTGTTTTTTTGGGGAATTTTTTTTTGTTTTTCGCTTTTGCTTATTCGGCTTTTGGGCGTTGGCCTGTTGTTTTCTGCCTTTGCTTTTTACTGGTTTTGCTTTTTGCTTTTGCTTTCTGCTTCTCGGCTTTTTGGCTTTCCTTGCTGGTTTGTTGTCGTCTTTTGGCTTCTTGGTTTATGGGATTTCCTTCCTGGTTTGCTGTCTTGTTGGCCTTCTTTGCGTCAACACTAATTGGCTTCCTGGCTTCTCGACCTGGCCTGGCCTCCTGACTTCTTCACAAGAAGGCAAGGACACAAGGAAGGAAGGAAGGAAGGAAGGAAGGAAGCAAGGAAAAAGGATCGAAGGAAGAAAAGAAAGAAACAAAGCAAGAAGGGAGGAAAGGAAGGAATGAAGGAAGCAAGGACGAAAAGAAAGAAGGAAGAAAGGAGGGTCGGTAGTATGTCAGTATATAAATTAAATATAGAGTATATATATATATATATATATATATATATATGGTCACCCCCCCCCCCAAGATCTACATCCGCCTCTTCCACACAATTCCACAGGTTGCTTCTCTACATTGGTCGACTACTCATATATGCCGAAAACACCGTAAATTCCGATACAATTGTGCTTTACTCCATGTGCATGCAAACAGTACTGCTACAAGTCGCGGGTTTGATATGTGTAAAAGTCTGGCGCCGAATTTCGGCAGCAGATTTATGGTAGTTTATATGTTGGAGAAGCTGAAATGCTGGAGGGCGTGCTGTTTTTGTTCAGGTAGTACTAAAAAACCTCGTGTTTTTTGCGTTTTATGGTGTGTTATTTAACGACATTCCTCTAATAATTAAATTACTATTGTCTTTCTTACGAGAACGTCTGTGTGCGTGGGCCATCTCTTTCCCGCTGCTCGCGAGCGTCCGATTCTGATGCGGCCTCATAGCTCTAGCATTTGATTTATGAGTTACGAAACACAAAGAGCTCCTTTCATGTCCTGTCCGTTATACACGGAGGAAGTCGAATATACGGGCGCATTTATTTTTGAAGCAATACTCCAATAGTTGTTCTTTGCCTCATAAAAAATGGGAAAGCCCTCCTGGAGTTGGAAAGTTCATGTGCATATGCGGGCGCACAAGAAGGCTCGTCTGCAGCAATAAGTAAGAGAGCTCTTGCAACCTTCCAAACATGGAGCAGGACTAATTACGACTGGCTGCATTGATACGTATCAATCACAAGGCAGGGGCTCCTTAACCTTGTAAAACAAAGTAAAATGGCACTTCATGGAGGGCCATGAGTTTTCATTCGGTTAACTCTTATTAATGATGCTGTCCTATACCCCGCAGAAGATGCCGATCGCTATGTCCATGGCTGTTTCTCTAATTGCTGTCATAGAACGTAGCGGAAAAAGTAGCTCTCTTCAATCTTCAAGCGACACTCCCCAGATGTGATCAAGAAACAAAGAGAAGCTTGCTTACTGGTATCTTTTATTAAACGGGCAAGAGGCATAAGACTTGTATCGGTTTCTACACCTCCCTCACATCCTGACAAAGCGATACCGGTCCTTCTGTATGTGACTGTGGTTTAAACGCTGTCATAGTTCGTATCACAACATGAAAAAGAGCTCTCTTCAGTCTTCAAAGACTACAGGTGACATCGTAGAATTCTCTTCTGGGTTAGCAGGAATCTTCATGTCTCTTGCTTGATAGGTATGAGGATGTCTCATAGGAAACCGAATAGGAAGTCTCCATTGTTTCTGATGATAGCAAGATGCAAACAGTTTCCCACAGTCTTCAACATGAAATGAATTAAGTTCTAGATAGGCTTGCGCTGCTACAGTGATGGATCTGTAGGCGGTGCAGCTTGCCGAAGAATGGCCAAAACCATTTTCGAGAAAGCTCAGGTACTGGAGCCAGTGCTGCTGGTGCCATAGATCTACCAACCAACGAAAACATATATGAAATAAACTATGCAACGACTAGGCCTTTTTCATACTTACCTAACAAGAGCAATGAAAACCGTTGTTGTTCCAGAAGATTACTTCCAGTCCTTGACAACGGTTGAAAGCACACAATTATCTTGTGATGCAATATATCCTGTCCTGGACATCAGAAAACACTGTGATGCTCAAAAAACTTCCAAAATTTCCAGCCCTGAAACTCACGAAACACTGTACTGCTCAAAAAAATCCCAAAATTCTGGCATCTATGGCCAGGCCGGGGGCAGAGTCCTTAAAAGTTTGGAATTTTTTGAGCATAGCAGTGTTTCGTGCGTTGCAAGGGTTGGAAAAGTTGATTTTTTTGAGCATTACATGTTTTGTGCGGTTGAACCGCACCTCGTCCGGGTGGATTTCCATGGCTTCGTGTGCGGCAAGATTTCAATAGGCTTGGAGTCACACTTGATTGTGCACAGGTGCGCACTTATCACATATCGCATGTCCCTCTTCACTAGACCCTCTCATAAACACTCACTGGCTCAAGATTTCGGCTGTGGGAGAACGAGACGGACCAGGCGGTTTGGGTTTTAGGACCAGCATCACCAGGTTTGGGGGCGGACAAGACACGCGCATCATGAGCATCAGCGGTGCTGCTTGGCAGTGCAATAACTGGAGCCGCTACCCCATGACCTCGTTGTTGAGTGGTGCATTAAGCAAATTCATTTCTTTTTGACCATGATCAATCTCAAAGACCATTTCTAACCAGGCGGATGCACATATACATATCTGTCGAAAAGACGCTATTCCTTGTGCGCGCCGGCTCACCTTGCAGGTATCTGACTGGAATTTCAAGTACTTGACCGGAGTAGAGGAGTATAGATGCATACACATATGCACATATACATATCTGTTTTTTTAATCCGCTATTCCTTGTAAGTGCCGGCTCACCTTTCAGGTGTCTGACCGGAGTAGAGGTATATACACGCATACACACAGGCACATCTACATATCTATTCTGTTTGCCGTTATTCCTTGTGTTGCTGCTGCTTTGTGCTTATTGACTTTCCTTATATATTTCTTCCCTTTGTTTCCTCGAGTTCTTGGTTGCTTGCTTGTTTGTTCGTTTGCTTGCGTTTTTGCCTTCTTCTTTTTTGGCGCCCTTGCCTTCTTCTTCCCTTCCTCCCTGCTTTCCTTTCCCCCCATTTCCTCCCTTTCTCTCGCTCTCCCTCTTCCTCTTTCCCTCTCCCTCGCCCTCGCCCTCGCCGCCTCTCCCTCTGCCTCTCCCTCTCCCTTTGCCTCTCCCTCTCCCTCTCCCTCTCCCTCTTCCCTCTTCCCTCTTCCCTCTTCCCTCTCCCGTCTCCCCTCTCCCCTCTCCCCTCTCCCCTCTCCCCTCTCTCCTCTCCCCTCTCCCCTCTCCCCTCTCCCCTCCTGAGAGACCTCGCCTGGCTTGTGAGAGCCTGGCTTGTGAGAGCCTGCGAGAGCGTAAACCCTGAAACCCTATCACTCGTCAACCATCGCGGACCCGAAGAGACACTGCCCGCTTGAATCCTGATCTGATTGCCTGGGTGCTGCATTTTTCAGATTACCTTGGGGGATTTCGGGTGCAAGGCTTCAGATTGAGTGGATGATCGGCTCAGGAACTACTTGGGATTAGGATTTGGTTGGGTTCTGGATGTAGCAACCAGTTGGGATTCGTGATTGGGTTTGTGAAAGTCGTTTGATGTGGGAATAGCTGGGTTCAGCGTCCATTCATGTTTGGGGTTTCATTTCATGTTGGGCAGAATTTGGTTGCGGGCTTGTCAACAAACTCTTCTGCGTGCTGCTTTGGAAATCTGTTTGGTGTCATTTCTTTGTCTCACATTTTGGTGTACGCAAAAAAGGTTTCACGCATTGGGCCAACCAATTCCGCAGGAAGAGCGAGCCGGTACCCAAGGTTGCGAACGTGGGTGTCAAGGCCAGTCCTGGCATGTCCTGGGTTTGCAGATGGCGAAATTGGGATTCAGCATGCTGGCGTCTTTTTCTTTCAGGACGCTTTTATGTGAAAGTGGCTACGACTGTTTAGGGCTGTGAGTGCATTATTAGTCTGATTGATTTTCTGAGAGCCCCGTTTTAGTGAGCAGGCAGAAACGGTACGTATAGTTCGAGAGTTGTGCTGGGATCTTGGGTCTTTGGTCCCCTAGTTTCGTGAAGTCCAGTTTTGCAAAGAAGTACGGTTGTTCTCCCTTTAGGTTTAAAAGTCGCCACTACTCTTGGGAATATGTGCGACCAGGGGAGTTTTTATCTGCAGCAGACCACCGTGAGATTTTGTTAATCGAGAGCTGAAGTGAAACCCCAACGCCAAAGGCAAAATCGCTGAACACTTCAGCCCGAAAGTGTATAAACCCGGGCAGCAGCAGAACACACAGCTTTAAAGGCTTATGACTTACGCAAGGCACTCACAACTTGGAACCCTGTGACCTCTTTGAAGTAGATTGTAGCACTCAGGGTTTGGTGTTTGGGCATACTGCATCAAGTATATGTCTAGTGCTCTAGAAAATTCAAGGAGAAAGCCGGTGTTGATGTTTATCAGGAAAATTCGCCCGAACACCAAACCGCCCCAAAACCATGGCTCAAAGAATCAATCCGGGGGAATAAGGGGACATAAGGGAGGGAGAGGGATTCGAGGATGACTCTGTCGGGGGGATCCCGCCCTGGTCTTTGGAGGAATTCGGGTAATCCACCTGTAAGCTGTGCTGAGGTTCGGTTTGGGTTTGCTTGGATGGGGTGCGGGTTGGTGTCATCATCATCATCGTCATCATTGTCATCCTCATCCTGATCCTGTTCCTTTCCTGGGTCAACGGTCACAGAAACCCGGCCTGTGGCAGTGAGGAACGTCACAGAAGGCTGCGACAGTTGCATGTTTAATACCCTCATGTCGGAGTCGTGATTGGACAGTGTTCACTGTTACAAGGATCCGGCATGTTTGGGACGAGAGCCTCGTGACGGTTGACGGTTTTGGAGCCGCCATGTGGGAGAAGTGTGCGCAGTCACAGGGATTCGGCATGTTTAGACGGACCCGGGCGGGCGGGGGTAGCGAGCCGAGAACCGGGATCATATACTCACTGATTCCACGCAGACAAAACCCAGAAAATCTTGCTCGTGTACCTAGGCCACCATAAATTCCTCTGGATCCGGCAGTTCCCTGTCAAACTTGACAGGGCTTCGATGGTCAGGGTTGAGCGAAGAGTATACAACTATAACTACAGTGATCAGAATACGTGGTACTCGGAATGATAAACCAATCTAGTTACTTCACAATTATGCTTTACCACTAAACCATCCCCCCAAACCCTGCTGAATTAGTAAGGCCCCGACAGCGAGGTGAAGCTCGACAGGCTGGTTGCCAACCGGGCCGCCACCCGTGCCGCCCGTGCTGCTAGCAGCCAGTCCTGCCTCCATGCTGCTTCCAGGGCACCGGCAAAATCGGGCCACTTGCAGGCAATGAGCATATACGAGGATGTGCTTCTATTCCGTAGCTCCCCGTGGAAATCTCTGCGTAGCCCCTACTTTCCGAACCGACACCCCAAAGCCCTTCAGCTTCGAGTGCAACCCTAAGCCCTACTCTGTCAGACTTGACCCGGTCACATAAATTTGCAAACAATCGAAATCCCACCATGTGGGCATATGCCTGGAGCCCAAGATCCGACAAGGCCACTGCAAGAGCCGCAGCTGCCAAACGCCTGCCTCTGCCTCTGCCTCTCTCTCACTCTCTCTCTCTCTCTCTCCCTCTCTCTCTCTCTCTCTCTCTCTCTCTCTCTCTCTGTGTATATACAGACATAAATAGACCGTGTATATGTGTAAATACATATTATATAATATGCATATGTATAGGTGGCCGAGACCTTTAGGGTTTGCTTGGCCACTTCCATTCTACGTAAGCACACAAACCATCTTGCACAAGTCCTGACTAATTCATCATGTATTTGATTGAATTCGGGGCTGAGGCCGGAGAGTTAGAACAAATACTGAATTACCAGGTACGTAATTCGTTGAAAAAGACCTGGCCGGACTCAATTTATGTATAGTTTCCGAAACCTTTAGGGTCTGTTTGTTTGGCCACTTCCATTCTACTTAAGTACACAAACCATCTTGCACATGTCCTGACTAACTCATCATGTATTTGATTGAATTCGGGGCTGAGGCCGGAGAGTTAGTGAAATACTGAATTACCAGGTAATTCGTTGAACTCATTTAATTCGTTTAATTCGGCAAAAGACCTGGCCGGACTTGATTAATGAGATTCGGGGCTGAGGCCGCACAATAATTGAAAAAATGCGGGCCGCCCCGTGGAGATCCCAGGCCATTTAAAGAATTAAACGAAGTAGTGGTACAAGTAAAGTAAACAAAGCAAAAGAACTCATTGGGGTACCTGAATCAAATGAAAGGCTTGCCCATTTAATTCATTGAAATCAGCTAGTTCATTAGCTTCGCTTAAGTCTTACACGGCCCGGGATCTCCACAGGGCGGCCCACGTGTATTCAGCTAAGTTAAAATTCTGCGGCCTCAGCACCGAAATAAATGAGCTAAATCCGGCCTGCTTTTTGGTAGATCCCAGGTCATTTGCAGAATTGAATGAATTAGTTGAGAACATATGTAATTGACGCTTCGGCCGCAGCCTTGGTTTTTCTGCATTACATCAGTAGCTGAATGAATTCCAGTAATTCTCCGGCCCATGTCCCGTGATCTAATTCATGTAGTTCATTGAATTCGGGGCTGAGGCCGGACACTTGCATGAACGAATAGGGTTGCGGCCACATAGTCCCAAAAGTATGTACATATTATATATGTACATCATGTATGTCTATGTGTATGTATGCATGCATGTATGTATGTCCCTAGCTGCTTCGCCGCTTGCTTCACTCCTTGCCGTGCAAAATTGCCAGAAGTCCGAAATCCTGGCCTTTTGAGTCTGAAGTTACAAAGACACCAGTATCAGTATCAGATCCAAAACCTAAGCACCACTAAACCTTGCAAGGATGTCAGATCGTGTACGAAACATGAAACCTGGTGCCAAAACTACAATCAAACCCTAAGACTCACAAGGGTATCAGATCGTGGAGAGCGTGATGTCCTCCCGCTTTTCTGAGCCTTGCGCAACTGAAGAGGACGATGGTTTCGTGAATGGTTTGAGCAGCGGGTCTACAATCTGTAGAATTTGTCGTGGATAGGGTTTTGCGGGTCTAGGTTTTTACAATGATTTGGTGTGTCGGGCTTGATGTGTTGTCTTTCAAAGGTCTACAGTCTCGCAGTTCAGGGTTCGAGCCATTTTCAACACAAGCTGGCACGAGAATGCGCTGCAGACAAAGCCCACATGCGAGCACGCACGCAGGCAAGAAGGCACGTGGTGTCGACTTCGTGGACGGATGTCCTAAACTTGCTTCAGCTTAGCTTCTCACGTGTCTGCCGTTGGGGATTGACCGAAAGATGGGTCATTAGAGCCTGCTGCGTGTGGCCACTTATTTCTTCCGTTGCCTCTAGGGCATTCAATTTCCTCTAGCAGGAAACTGTTTTGTGACTTATGCTACCTTTTGGGAAAAGCTCCTGAAGATATGCAGAACCACTTGGCGCACACCTTGCATGTGGCCCGAATGCAGACCTCAGAAAGTCATCCTACCGACTCAACAGTTTAAGATTGCTTCATCTTGTGCATGGTACATCTTCCGAGGCCCTAGACCATGAAGTATGCGAGAACCCAAAAGCAACACCAGCCCTCGAACAAGCATTGACCTCGATGAAGTCCTCACAGCGTCGAGAACAGGAGTCCGTAGTCGATGAAAGCCCGTCTTCAGGTTCTAGGCTAGCTTATGGGAGTATCAAAGCATGCCGTGTGCAAAGTCTTCCCATCTTCACCGCTGGAGGAGTCGATGGTTCGACACTGCATGTGGTGTGGGCATCCTGTCCCCTTGTGGAGGCAGTCGGGGAGGCTAATATTTCGCAGTCTTTGGGCTTTTTGTTGCAGCATCGCAACCTCCTGGCTCGATCTTTGTTTGTCTTTGGGCTGGCGGGTGTTTTTGTCGTAAGCCTTCTGCAGCTCCCAAGCTGGCAAATCCGAGACGATGAAGGCCAAAAGCGGCAAGCCCAAACCCTGAACCGAGAACCTTAAGCCCCAGCACGGTGCACCATTGCCTGTGCCATCCAGGTCGCCTGAGACGGACGGCACGGTCGATTGTCCCAACTGCGGTCGCAGGTTTGATCTGCGCAAAGCAAAAACCACCCCTCTGGGTGGGCCGTGGTAGGCAAAGGACGAACGCAGAAAAAGTGTTCATAATTAGTCGCCAGTAGAATTGCTTAACCACTCTTTTCATCCCCATTTCTGCCTCGGATGTCTCCGTTTCACTCTAGCGACAACGTACTTAGCACTGCTGACCTCTGTCATCACAGGGCTGTTTGAAGGAAAAGCGGCAGGGGGGAGAGTGTCCGATGACCGGATCATCCAGCAGGTAGTAAGCAGATCGATGATAAGCTTTTGCTTTCAAGGCCTCAATGTATGCATCTATATATATATATATATATATATATATATATATCTGTCTATCTATCTGTCTATCTATATATATATATATATATATATGCAATATGTCGTGACATGTAGCTGCATCGGTATGCGCACATGCGTGTGTTGCTGCCATGTCTATGGCTGAGGCTGAAGGCCCGAGACTCCCAGACAACGAGTTTTTGCAGACCCGGAGAAGACAATCAAACCTGCTAGGGGACGTGTAGTTCCCGCGTTCTGGGTTGCATCGCTCAGATCCGCTTGTCTGGTTGGTGGTTCAATTGCAATGTAGTCTGTTCGGGTTTCATGCAAGCTTCTATGGCCCGGAAGTAATCTCACCGTAGGCTAGGGATGTCGGATCCCTTGTCTGCCTTGTGCTGTGGCCCTAGATGTGTAGCCGTATAGCCCCAATTCCTTGGCCCGAAGCCTCAAGCCGCAGCTGCTCACTAGCCCGTTAACTCTTGAACTTCGCGGCCTGTTCCCGCAGCACTCTGAATTCCTCAAGGTTGACGTAGGTCCAGGGACGACCGCCAACGTCTCGTACCGACAGGATTTTGACATTGCACAGTCATGTCTACGCTGAACGGAGTGATAAGCAGTCAGAGGTACACAGGGTGACTCACGGTAGTACATAGTCTTGGAAGGTTGTTTCTCCGCGTCGTGTTTAGATTCAATATCTTGACTGACTGTTGTTTATTGGAGAAGCATTGGGTCCGCCCACCAGGAGGCCAGGCAAGCGAAAAATTCACTTCCATGCAAGAACTCCTCTATTTAAGCTGCGAGACTTTTTTGCTATGGCGGATTTCGCTAACTGGCTCTACCCGCCCGGACAGACGTGGCCACCTGCGCAGGCCAGAGACTAAGAGACAGAACCTCCTGTTTCTTCGTGGTTTAATGCACCGGACCTATAAATTACAGGTTTGAAGGTTTGGGTGTTTCGAACTCCTCCTGGCTTTGAAACCACAGGAGGTTTCAGACTTGTCGAGTTTAGGACTTCAGCTTTCGGACTTGGTGTAGGAAACTGGCTCCAGGCTCCTTGAGGTGCCTGGAACCATTGGCTTCTGAAAAGTCGCTAAGGTGCCAGTATTCGGGGTCATGTGACCTGTTCAAACTAAAGGGTAGCTTGCCCCTGAAGTCTTAGCGCGACCTTGTTTCGGGTCAAGGGCTCCGAGCTTGTGGGGCGGTGGGGGGGTTGCGTCATGCTGTTTTCTGGCACTGAATCCCAAGCTTCCCAAAGACACAGGTATTGTTGCGTGGAGCGTGCAACCCTCCGTATACCCTCCCTAAACCCAACGGCAAGCCAGCCCAAGAGCCAATGTCTTGTAAGCCCCAAGCCCGGATTCTCAGTCTTACACTCGAAATCCCAAGGACCCTGAAGCCTCAAACCCGCAAGCCCGGAAGCTTTGGCTCTAAGCTTTCAGGCCCCCAGGCCCGAATTGAAGAGCCCTGCAGCTCTTCTAGTAAGGCTTCCAGTAAGCACATCTACTACTATAGTGACCCTTATAGACGAACTCCCGACTCCCTGGAAACGTTACAGGAGCCGTTCATTATTATAGTAGCCCTTACATTGAGTAACACGCGCACCGCAACCCTCCGAAGCCGCAAAAGATGAGGCCGCAGGAGCCGGTGACTGGGATCCTGAGGCATGGCTTCCCCAGCAACCGGAAAGCAACTCGACGTGAAAGCATACTTCGGGCTTAGGGTTCAGGGTTTTTGCGCTTTAGGTTCAGGTATTTAAAGGTTGGCTCAAAACCCCAGCGCTGTAACCCATCCTCACCTCCGTCCGGTCTTACGCAGCTTTACATGACGCAGGTTGTATATATTTCGGGTCTTGATGAACTGTATACCTTTGGATCCGTGCCTGTCTTCTGAGAGTGTGCCAGTCGAGAGCAGACATCTGAGGTGGTGACTGGCAGCCCTCCTTTGGGTTTGCCTCAGCGCCGAGCAAGTTCTTGGGACGCATGGTTCGAGCGATGCTCGAGTTCACTGTACGTTTGCTTGGTTGGCTTGGTTCCATACTTCTGCTTCTTCTTCTGAGTGTCACGAACATGTCAGCCGTGATCCTGTGGGATGAAAACATGTGGTGGTGAGCTGTTGGGGTCCGTCTTCAGACTTTTGGGCGCCAGGGGTCTGTTGGCCGGGTGTGCTCGAGGTGTCTTCACTGATTTAGGGTTCCAGCACCCCAGAAGGCACCATTGCTTTTCGGGCAATATGTACAACCACGATGAATCTCTTCATCATCCTGATGGCTGAGTATTCGTGTTCATGCTCGATAAACCAGAGGAGCAGACTTTGAGGGAGCTGGAAGTACCGACTGCGCTCGTGAGGCAAACTCATGTAGTATTGAAAGCAGGTTAGGGTTTAGACCTTGGAGCCCGATTACCTATCTAATGGTCCAATGGTCTACTCTAGTGAAATAGCCTATAAGGGCTTCTAACACCGACATAGGCAACTGGACTTCCATGGTGAGGGTTAGGGCTCAGTCGGACCAGCCCTCCAGCCGTCAAAGACGAATGCTTGGAGTAAACACTGCCTCGACCAAGGCCCCGGCCCGCGCCCGAGGCGGGGGATGTTCTCAAATGAGGTTTTTTGCGTTTCTTTCGGGCTAGGAAGGCCTTGAAGCTTGATTTTAAATAATTCTGTGCTTCAGCTTCATCTTCGGCTCGGAGTGTGCGCCGTCCAGCTTTCATTCCGATCAGTCCCTTGTCGAGCTTCATGCATCGGACAGTTGCAGTTGCCGAAAAACTCCTGTAGACAGGCTCCTCCATCTGGAGTCCTGCCTCAGCAGCCGCCGCAGCAACGCTTCGTTCCTGGCACGCGGAAGCGAAAGCTTTGCATTCATCACGAGGCTGAGGGCGTGAGAGAGAGAGAGAGAGAGAGAGAGAGACAGAGTGAGAGAGAGAGAGAGAGAGAGCGAGAGGGAGAGAGAGAGAGAGAGAGCGAGCGTGTGTATTTCCACCGTGCTTATGCAGTGGTCAACATCGTCATACTAGACTACATGTTTTCCACCTCGGGGTGAGCACTGGCGCTGGGGGAGGTCTCCCCCCTCTCGCCCTTTCGAAAAGGAAAGTTTGTGAGTGAGTGGGTGAGGAGAACAGAGACAAAAAGAACCAGCGAGAGGAACGGAGGAGTCAAAGACAAGACTTCGGTCAGAGGCTCAAGAGAGCTTTCGTGGTCTGCTTGGAGGAATGGGAATGCACAGGCAGTGAGTGCGCAAGGCTTCTTCGTTTTGAGACAGTGCGCCCAAAAGTTTCAACCCGGTTCTCCAGAGATGATCAACTCTGAGCACATGTGTTTGTTGCAGCAAGTTAGACCGAGAGCGACACAAACGGAGACAGAAAGGCTGGAAGAGAAACAGGGAAGAAGAGAGAGAGAGAGAGAGAGAGAGAGCAAGAGTGTGGGAGTGATAAAGAAACGCCGTTAAGTTGTGCTAAAAGGACAGAACATTTTTCTTCGCTGCCTGGAGCTGCTTTTCGTGCGAGAAAGATATGTAGCTTTCCCCTTTTGCCATAGCAGCCTTCACACAGGGTCCGGGCCCTTCCCGAATTGGCGTATGGCGACACAGACCGGACTTGTGTAGAGTGGTGAGAGCGAGGGTACATGCTCAGTGGTTTGGGCCCACGAGGGAAGCCTGGCCCGAAGGCCTACCCCCTCAACGGTAGTTTCGAAGGTCGTAACGCCCCCTCCGAGGATGAGAGAAAGTCTCGTTCCCCCACCTGAGCTTGTTAACCCTGTTCCCCCAAAGCACCCCTGCTAAGACCATACGCATCAAAGACCTGCAGGCTCCAGGTGGGTCATCCGAGTTCCCTCCAGATACAGCTACGCGAAAGTGGCCTTTTGCCGGGACTTGCAACCAACACAGCAGAACCTAGTTCAACAAAAGGCGACTGCACATCACCACGGCTAACCATAACCCCTGCACTTGTTCTGTCCCTTCTTTCGCTGCCCTGGTGAGCTCCACTACCCTGGGCTACTGCTGCGGGATCTGTACCCCCGAGCAGTAAGTGCCTCACGGTACTTAACCCTACCTTGCCTGCCTCCCCACCTTATCCCGAACAGAACCTTGCGCAACACTGCCTTCACCTTGCCACGCCACCCCTGAAGCCTAAGTGCAAGCAGCGGGCACGCTACGGTGGGAAAAGCACCTGCGGGGCCCGTAAGCATATACATATAATATACATGTTGAAACACATGTTGGGGCAATCACCATTCTCTCCATTCTGCAGGCCGGAAACTGCAGATATGGCGGCCCCGGTCGCATTGGCGTACTTCTTTTTTGCACAGCTTTCTGGTTTGCTGCGTCGGAGACAGCTGACACGGCGACTAGTAAAGTACTCCAAAGGACTTCTGCTTCTGTGCTATGAAGCAGGCGACTTCCACACCCATATTTCACCTACTGCCCCGGGGCTTCTGGTGCAATAGTGGCGATTCGAGGCTGTGGGCTGGAGGTCCGCAGAGCTGGTACCCCTCAGGCCGTACTACAATGAGGTCACATCATGGTTATTATCAGAGTATCCGTCATCACGGTATCATGTTGCCAAGCTTCGTAACCGCAATAATCATCTTCCTTTTCTTTCAGGATCCGACCTGCCCCAAGCCTAACTCGGACTCGTGTGGATGAGGTGCCGACTGCAACTTCGCACACGGCGTGGACACTATCCTGCAAGTAGTCGTGCCGTGGTGTAGCCATGAGGCAATCCTCAGGACCCTTTCGGGGTTGGCTTTGGGGCTTGTGTTCAGATTTGAGTGGTTGGGGCCAAAAGGCCGGGGGTTCGATGGGGTCTAGGAGAGAAGGTGTCTACATCTAAGAGCACCCAAAAGGTCTTGGATAGCGAAGATTCCTGAGGCCACTAGGGGTTTGTGGTTTAGTCTTTTCCCATCTCAAAGCCCGGACTCTTGAGCGGCCTGCCGTGGAGGCTGCGGCCACGTGATTGTGGGAAGTCGGATATTAAAACCTTCAGAGCTCAGGGTTGTAGGGTAAGATAACACCAAAATCATTTGCCGGGTTCTCGGTTTGTAGGGTTCAAATTTCTCAGGGTTGTTCAAAAACACATCAGTTCCTACACAGTCCCCCTTGAGCCCACAATGCCGAGCCCAGGAAGATCTGGAACCGGACTGCCAGGAAGCCGTGACAAAGAAGCCCCAGACAGAAAGGCGCGGCATGTAGGGGTTGCAGTTTAGAGTCTTTACGGTTGAGGGCCGGTTTAGTGACAAGGGCCTGAACCTCTGTCTACCCGTGCGTCCTTCTGAAGCTGAAGGTTGAAAGGTACACTGCTTGGAGGCGGGGGGAAGCAATCAATTCAATAAGGGGTTTTGGGGCTTGAGGCTTGTCACCAGACCCCTACTACAAAAAAGGATCTAAACCCACGCGTCGCCGCAGGATGGATTTTAGCGGTCTCGAGGCGGGTCGCTTGACGAAGAGCCTCACGGTGCCCCAGGACCAGGCCTCCGCCGCAGGATGTGTTAGGGTTTAGGGTTTAGGGTTCTATGAGCTTTCGAATCGAATTGATTTGCTAGGATCAGGGATTTGGCTTTTGTCCATTGGCCGGGGTGATTACTCCGAGAAATTTCTGAATTCCGGTTTCGGAGATTTCGGAGTCCCGGGAGCCGATATTGCGGCTTTGAAACATGCCTGGCGAGTGTGTAGGGTCGGGTTGATAGATAGGTGGAGGGGTTTCAAGCCAGCGTCACCCCAAGGCTTCTAGCCTGGAGCTGTGTTTGCTGTCCTGAGCTTCGGGGCTTCGGGTATACAGCCTAGCTGGGCCTTCCTTCAAGGTGACATCCCCAAGCCTGCGGCCAGAGGATCCTAAACCTTGCTGTGAACCCATGTTTTGGGTGTTCAGGTGGATGCCTTGATGACGGCAACTACGCGTGAGCTGCTACTGGAAGCGTCACGGCTTGTGATGGTTTGGGGCCAGATTTCAGGCCTTTCCAAAGCGAAACCTGTTGTAGACGAATGTGCATTCCATGAAAGCGCCAGATTGAAAGTAGAAGGAGCCCACACACCGTATCCTTCATTAACAAGTACTTGACATTGAGAAGATGGAGTGCATCCCAAGGGTAAGTGAACCCCTAGGACCTAGGAGCCGGAAGCGGTGGTGTTACTCGGCCCCACCCTATCATGTTGCCTCAGCATCACCTCCAATATCCAGCTTTGCAGGTCGCCGGAGCCTACGATATCGAGCTCCAGCATCCTGCCTGAGCTCTGGGTTTGGGCTAGAGGGTGTAGTGTTACACACAGGCTTCTAGCACTTGTTCGCGGCCCTTGTCCTGACGCATTAGAGTTGGTTCAGGGCTGGCTAAGGGTGAAGGCTCATGATCTGGAGCCGTTCGGGGCTCCCGGATTCTCGGCATGAAGCAAAAGCATGTCGCGAGATCAGGGGACGTAAGACTGAGGGAAAGGAGAAAACTCGCGAAAAGACGAAAGGGTCGAAGACATTTCGACTTTTCGAGATTTGATTCGGTTCTCTGCTTATCGAAAGCAACGCCTGCTTGTGTGCTTGGGATCGTGATCCAAAGCTTTTGCACATCGAGGCCGGCAAGGCGAGTGGTGGAGGTGACCGGCACGGCGGTGCAGCTCGAGAAGGCAGAGAAGGCCGGCCGCGGTGCGGGAGGGTGGAGGTGGAGAGTGCTCTCCTGCAGGAGTAGGAGTTCCACAACAGGTCATCGCGAATTCTGGCCCTGCAAAGTCTTCTGGAACTGCAGGATGGCATGAAGATAAAGAGCCCGTTCCCATGTGTAGTAAATCGGGGGAATGGATTAAGTGTGGTGTTCACACCCAAAAGCAGGGAGGTTGTCGCCCGCCTGAAATGACCTCCTGCAGCCAAGTGAGTACAGGGATGGTTGCTGCGTGATTCAATTAACTTGCGCAGCACACTACGCGAAAAGAGATCAAGAGCGATCGCTGTTGAAGGGCCTGTTGGGACTTAGGCTTAGAGAGAGCAGGTACGGAACTGCCTCGCAGCACAACTTGCAGGGTCGAGGGTTCGAGGTTAGATTTGAAGGATGCTCCTACCTAATTCCTAACGGAACTGTGACAGCACCAAATCGCGCTTGTAGGCCTTCAGCCTTGTCTGTAAACCCTGAACCGCCAGCTCCGAAGCTTGGCAGCCCGGGCTGGACGACCCTCAATCCCAGCCTCTCATTACCTCTCCCAACGCTTCACACTCTCGCGATCCCAAGACACTCGTGTTCGGGCCTAGACAGCATAGAGGCACTCCAGCGCATGGTCGCGCATTGCAACTGGGGTGCCAGCGATTCCAAGATACGGGCCATCCTCCGACCCCGACTGGTCTCCTGGCCCGAATCAAATTCGATCGTCGATATAGGACAATTCATCGAGGCAGTTGCAGGTCCTGGGATAGTGCAAAGCTGAAAACGTAAACCTCACAAACGATATACCACTGATATACCCCTAAACTGGCAACCTCTCACACACACACACACACATCCTCGCTAGTGGGGGTTTAGGAATAAACGGTAGGGGTCCCTGGCTGATTTGAGGTTTTGCTGGGGAGTGGGTTCAGAAGTCGGTGAGAAATTATTGTTTCTTGGTGCCCGATAAGCCCTTAACCGAAACCGTTGCGGTAAACGGTAAACTCATCTAGTTAGACCCTGTCCTCCTGCGAGTAAGCCGTCGTGTTGGAAGGCTGTGGGTCTGGGGTTCGTCCCGCTGTCGGTTTAGGATTGACCTTTGGTTCATTTTTGATGCTTCAAGACCTCCCAAGTTACCAAAAGAAACCCAGCCCTAATTTGTGTTTTGATTTCTGCATCGCCTGAACCCAACACGACCCGAAGCTGGAGGAAGTGTTGACGCTTTGGCTCTTGGCGTCCGGAGGGTTGAGAGAATGTGGCTCAGGGTTCGTTTAGAGGAGTGTTTCTCATCACGTCTCAGACCCGTCATCACAGTGCTGTTCCAGGGTCTGGTATGTATGCTGAGCCTCATTGTCTCGTGTGGTAGCGAAGCCAAGGATTACAAATATGTGCTGGCCTCAGCTGTGCTACTCTTGTTGATGTCGGTGAACAGCGGGCATGGAAAAGCACAAGTCTTTTGGCGAGTGGGTTTAACCAGGTTTTGATGCGGGAGGACTGCAGGTTCTGAAAGTCGCAAAGAAAAACCGGATCCTCATTACAATTCGCCGGGAAACTTGTCCAACATGAAAGACAGGTCCTCTCCTTTGCAGGGCTCTGCGCCGACACGGAAACACCAATACGTGTCGCTGGCAACCGTTCCCGTTCCTGAAGATCTCCCTCTGCAGTCCCTCTGCGCAAGTCTTAGATACTTGGCTGCCAGTCCGCCACCCAGAGTCTGAGCATGTCTGCGGTCTGTTTGATCTTACCTTCGTTGCTTCTCGTGTTTTCTCAGATCCTGACACAGTGGTTGCTTTCCCAAAGTGTTATTTCTCCGACGGCGACAACGACGACTTGTACTGCTGTCTCAGCTCTGACCATGCAACACTAACCACCGCTGGAAACCCGCAGTTTGGTTCAAGAGGTAGTGTGGCCAGCGGCCGACAGCCTTTCGTGCTCGAGCCGTGGTCATGCTCGCATGCTTGTGTGCGGACCCCTGGAACTCTCCAGAAGGAGACGAACCTTTGGTGCTGAGCAGGTTGCCTTTAACATTCTCCTTGTTTTTCTGGGCTTTGGGGTTGCGGCTTTTCGGGTCCATCTCCGGAGGCAAGCTCGCACTGTCGGAGCTGGGCGGTATTCGTCGACATGTTGTTGCGCGAAACTCGGCAAATTAAGGAAGTCCATGTGTCTGATGACAATCTCAACAGCCTCGACAGCAGCGAGCCGCCCCAGGCTCATGCACCTCGTCCGAGCATTGCAAAGTAGAGTTCTTTTCTGCGAGAGGTACATTGTGGGTTTTCGCTGCGCTCACTCCGTGGCTCCATCCTAATTCTCGGAACATGAGGTACAGCCGAAGATGTCTTCGCTGGTGCCTTTTAAGACAGTGGATGAGGAAGACGATGCACCGCCAGCCTTTGTTGCCACAGTGTCGCTGGATCCATTGGGACTCGTAGAGTCGAATTAAGTCCTTCCTTTCCGAGACCCCCCAGCCTTACCCGAAAAAACACGGTGTGAGAACAGTACACATTGGCGGTTGTGGAGGATGCAGTTGACGCGCGCCGAGTGGGATCGTTGTTATTCCCTGCTTTGCGCCTATCCGGCCACTAAGGTCTGACGAGAAAGAGAAGGTCTTTACGATCGCCTTTTCGAAGTCCCATGGTCATGCGGGCATAAATTTCGCACACGTGGACGGTCTGCTCGTTGTCGAGGATATCGGTGCTGATCACATTGCACAGTGGAACAGCATGCTGCTCGGTTGTGTGAGTCAGGTTCGCGTCTTCCCTTCTGTGCAGCCGATGCTTGTGTGTTTCCGTGTTCAAGTGTCAATTGTTGCTTGTACGTGTTGTCCTCGATATCGGTTGTCCTGGCTGTATCTGGTTCATGAATTACAATCTTCCCTGATTCTGAAGAGAAGTTGTGTCGCCGAAATCTGCTTCCTCCAGAGACTCTCAGACCTTCCGAAGTTGGGTTTGGAGTCCAAAGACTTCCGAGAGCTGTTTGAACTACTCGATGCCTTCTGAGCCCCAAATGCGAAGCTGAAAAGCTCGGCCTCGGATCATCGAAGCTTTGTGCTTATTGAGGGGTAAGTTCTGGCTGCCCGTGGCAACAACAAGTGTAGTGTTACCAATGTATCCTCAGTAATTCTTAATTGTGATGCTATACAATGCCCGCCACCCCCCCCCCCCCCCCCCCCCCCCCCGCCCGCGCCGCCATGACCTCAAACGGCCCTGAAGTAAGAGTTCGAGAAAACGAGGGACCGTACATCAAATGAAGCATAGATAGTTTCGTGCTTCTTCGAAGGGGCCCTTCAGCTTGTGTCCCCATACTTTCAAGAAATCCACCAGTATTCGCCTTGACAGTATCCAGAGCCAGCTTAAACATTATTAGCCCCAATAACTCGCCCCCCAACCGCATAAACCCGTCCACCCCACTCCAAGACTTTAGTTTCCGACTTTTCTGGAAGAATGCAAATAACCAACAGCTCCTAGACCCTGAAGCCTACATCGAACCTACTTCTGCAGACCTTGCCAGGCTAGTCCCAGAGTGAGTGTCAGAAGCCTACAAACTCAGGCAGAAGGATGAGATGGTCAGAGTGCAGCCGATGGATCGCGTTGTCGCCATCAACGAGAAGCGGGGTACCGCGGAAGAACTCCTTGACCTCTTCAGAGATGCTTGGGCCAGAGTGTTTTCCATTCAATTTCAACTTGATTTTGGTAGAGTCAGAGTCAAAGATGCTTCGGGTTCATTCCTTTGGTCAGATGGGCGAGTTGTGTTTACTGGTGGATTAAGATACTGAGTTTCTCGGGTACAGACGCTGCGTAGATTCGGGCTTGCAGGCTAGGCTGGAGGAAGGAGATGTTACAGCAGCTCTTCGAGCTTAGCCTTGATCGGGGTTATGGCAAGGTTTTACACCTTTATCGTGGGACCCCTCGAGCCTGTTCTGAGCCTCGTTTCGATGTTGTTGCTATTATTTCCCTTTCGCTCACTCTCTGCCCAGGCGAATGCGATGACGAGAGTAGTTGCACGAACCCCCAATTAGGGTACTTATAACCCCCAATTAAGTTCTAACCCCCAATTAGGGTACTTATAACCCCCAATATCATTCCACCAATATAAGAATTGTCTTCACGGAGCCCGAAGCCCGAGGCCTGGGTATGAAACCCTGAGCCCAGGAAGAGGGCGATGTGCAACTCACGTTAGAGCATCCGCGCCACTTCTCCATCGAGCTTCACAGAGGCAAGACAAAGGCTGGCAGGAAAATAGGTCTCGAGGTCTCAGCTCCCCGGCTCAAAGGACAGCTGAAGACTGCTGGCATTGAGGTTGGGTAGCCCCCTCTTCCCCTCTTCCTGCTCTTGATTTTTCTTGGAGTCGCTCGGGGAAGGTTTAGATGTAAAATTTCCAATAGATCTTGTGGCACATCAGAACTAAACCAAAGACTCCCCATATCCCTCAAGATCCCACTTCCCCTAAGCTTTTCAACTGTGGCTTTGTGCACTCTTAAGGCTTCGCTTGCTCGGAGCTTTGAAGGGATCCGTAGATCAAAGCCCCCTGCAGTCCACAGTCAAAAACTGACGCAATTTCGAGAGAGGCATCAAATCCAATGTCCATTCGCCTTCGAAACAAGCTGTGGTTTTGAGTGTAATAGTAGCCACTATAGGCAGGCCGCCAGGGCTGTGACAAGCCACGTCAGCTCTGTCCCGGGGAGTTTCGTGAAGCCCCCAATGTCTGAGGCCCTCAAAATTCAGAAAACGAGAAATTCCGGAGCCCTTGCGCCTCGAACCCAACCCTCATCGAATGAGGCCTGCGATGGCCCTTTGGGCATCGTGATCCTGAAGGTGCTGTGGTGTGTGAGAACGTGTTTCTTTCGTTGTTCTTGATAGCAGGAAACTGCAGATTTCAACTTGCGTTGGCACTTCACAGAGGGGGCCTAAACCACCCCAGTCCCTGATTCCTGGGCTTAGGCTTTGGCACAACTTGAGAGCATGAGGATACATGAGGTGAGGCTTCCGTGGTATAGGTTTGGATTTTCAGGTTTCTGCTGCTAGAGCTGCTAGGGCATGTTGAGTTTCAGGATTCGGGCTTGCCGGTTTCCATGACGCAGGAACGAGAGTTCTGAGCTTGCGGCAAGAAATCAGGGCTCATAATGACACGGCTTAGGGTTTGCCAGCTGGTGGCTGAGGGACGACTCACTTTCGATTCTGACTCAGTGGAGATGCTGCTCTTCACATTCCAAGACGCGAACGAAGTGAACTTCAGGACGAAGTGTTTTGTTCGCCCAGAACTCCTGCATTATCTATAGGATACAACATAGAATCTGTAAGACGCAAGCAAGCGAAGGCTATAAGGTGCAGAGGTAACGGGGAATGCGACTCAGACCACCCTGCAATGCAGGCCAGTGCTTGCTTTAAAGAGCGTGGACATAAACGCCCCCAAGCCTCAATGTCTAAATCCAGGCGCTGTGTTTAGGGCGCGGAGCCCCATCCGGCTTCCCGGGAGGTGCTCGAGGACGGCTTAATACCGAGCTACAACAGCACCGCGGAGAAAGGCATGGACATCAAGGCCCCTGGTTTTAGGGTTTGTGCGGCACTGCGGCACTTTTTCTGCCCGTGAACGAGGCCGTAAGATTCTGAGAGGTATATACAGTTATATACACGTGCATGCAACTTCGTGAGAACTTCCTTCCCTGTCGTGGATCGTGAAGAACCTGTTCTGACCGGGGATGCCGGGCCACCAACATGTCCCAGATACTGAATTGAATGGAAAGGCAGATAGAGAGTGCAACGGCAATTCATCCTGCAGCTGGCCGTACAATCCGTACTGCAAGTCTTGGATAAGTAGGTTTGCAAGTCTTAGATGATTAATTTTTGGTAAGAGATGCACATATTTACAATCATGCACATTTGCATATTCTGTACCTGTTCATTGCGCCTCTGTTTTTCTGGTAGTACATGTTCTAAACTTCCTGTTGCCGAAGAGTTGTTTCGAAGGCATTTGTCTTGCAGGTCAGGGTTGCTTCTGGTCTTCTTTCGAATCGTCATACAGGGCAGAATATGTGCTCCGACCCAGTGATCATGACCCTAATCAAGCACTAAATTGCAAGCCGCCGGCGAAGAAGGGCCCAGGGTTTCTAAGGCGAGTTGCAGAAGCCGAAGCAGAGGGGCACTGAGCAGAGGTTGCCTGCTGAATCGAGCCCTGAATCCGAGATTCCGAAACCCCAAAACATCCCATTCTGCATACTCAAAGGACCCTAGCCCCCAAGCCCAAACCCTTTGTCTCGGGAGATAAACCCCCTAAACCCCCCCAGCCATAATGTGGAGAAGCGAACACCCTAAGCCCCCTCAGACCCCAAACCGCCCGACACCCTCGATGCCAGGCTTACTCCAGCATTTATGCCATCAATGGCAAGGCTTGGCCGAGCCTGACACTGCTGAGAATGTTGGAAAAGCTCGAGGTCTTCAAGGCCGCCTGAGAAGTAATGGAGGGGCCTTTTAGGGTTTAGGGTTAAGGTTTGAAGTAATGTAGGGGCTTAGATAATTACCAGCCCCTTATCGGAACTGTAGTATGATATGCCCCAAAAACCTGATTCTAAGACACTCCTTAGATAATCGTTCTAACATCCCAGTCCAAGCTTTTGGTTGTTTTGCTTTTACTATTTCTACCTATATGTAGGTTTTAAGTACTGAGTGATTTAGGAACAGGACGAGTAGGGTAGTACTCTAAGGATTGTAGGCCTTAGAAATCGAAGCAGTCTAGTTACCCTTGCTTTCGGCACTCCACCAAGGTGAGTTTGCGGACGTGGAATATGTGACGTCTCTCACCCACCTAGTGAGGTCGCGGCCTCCTTGTAGGAGAAGCCTCGGTGTCTCAATCGCCCCAGCCGGCACCAAGAAGCAGAGCTCGAGAATTGAAAGTGCCAAGCCATACGGTTCTGTACCATTCCGCCACCGAACGGGTGCCGCACTGTTTTGCAAAGCTTTGGCGGGAGTCACGCGTTGCCCTGACACTAGCTCTGGACTCCTCAAGCCAAAACTGCAGTTGGGACGATTGCGACTTTTTCTGGGGCAACCAGTTGCGACGACGCGCACCGAGTCCACAAAGGGCAGGGCTCGCGGCAGCTGCGTCGTTTCTATAAATTTTCTGTTCTTGATACGAAAGCTTAGAAGTCCAGCAGCAAAGCACACCATGTCCGGGTGCTCTAGACTCAGAACTCCCCACGGAATAAGTTGGTTAGTATCTCACTTTTCCGCTCAGGGCCTGGACAGTTAAGCAAAACTGCCTCAAAGAGGCAAGCTTAAGCATGACAGAGTTTGCACAGTGACGGGCTTCCTCTGCGTGATTCGGGTACAGTCACACTCTGTGCTGTGAGTATGTGTTTTGGTATCTGCATGGGATATAGGATATATGCTTATGGCGCCATCGATGACCAGAAGGGGCCCCTCCCTATAGGGATGGCATTGAGGGACGGCCTTGGACAGGATGACCAAAACTGCCTGGGAACCCCAGACATGGACTAGTCGCTTTCAAGAATCAAGAAGCCATCTTCTTTCGATGGAGCAGAAGTAGGCCTTGTATACACACCTAACTGAGTCTCTAAGTCCTTCTTATTCTTGTAACACTCTGGGTCCCCACGGTGGCGTCCGAGGCAGGACTCAAAGCCGGCCCTAGAAGAGATCCAGTCTCACCGCTCGCTTCCGCAATAACGCGCAGGTGGGTTCGTCCTTTTTGCAGCAAAAGCAGTAGACAGTTACAGTTAAAGCATAGTGTTTCGGGTGTACGGTCTTCCTAATTCTGCAACAGGCAGTGATATGGACTGCGCAATTGGCCACCTCTTTTTGCATGCAGACCGAAAATGCTCGTGCGCATGCCAAACTTTCCAGCTCCTACAGCACAACCCCCTTGGTCCTGTTTCGAGTTTCATACTTGGAGATGGGCCGACACGATTCCAAACACCACTCCCTCAAGGTATAGTATGCAGTACCCAAAACCTTCAACATTCCATCTCGCAACCTCAGAGCCCAGAAAACCTGAAGGGCCTCCCGATAGCCCCAAACCGAAGACCCCCGAAGGCTAGATGAACTCATGGCCCCGAGATCCGAACAACGTATGCCCAATTCGTCATGTTCGGGACTTGGTAAGTAGGGTTATATGTACCCTAATTGGGGCTATAAGTAAGTATAACTGTAGTTACCTTACTTATAACCCCAAGTACTAAGTCCCATGATACCACAAAAATTCCACAAATGCAGACCCTGGGGTCGGAGGCCCGAAGCCTGCACCAAAAAAGAATCTCAAGGCCCGCGTGCGCTTGGCCTCTATGGCACCCGGCCTAAAGGCGGGATTCCGTAGACCTGTAAGGACCCCCGGAAAACCTAAACCTTAATGCCTGAATGCCTTTTCTGTAGTGTTATGTATATTGTCTGAGTTATTTATCACTCCCCAGGACTTGGGCTTTCAAGCTTTGGATCTGGCAGGCATGACAAACACACCGCTGCGGGGGAAGCCTCAGGGTCCGAGCGCATACGATTTCTGGTCGTTCAGGCCCAGTGAATCCTTGAACCTGAAGCCCCACCCGGCATGTGTGTGCTGGTTTTGAGACCCGATGGCCAGGATTTCACAAAGACGCTGACGGCAGAGAAGGCCCCTTCGGTGCAGGGCATTTAGGGGCTTTGCTTAGAGCTCCGGATGTTTGACATGAACCGTGGCTGGAAATCCCATCGTTTCGACATTGGGCCTTTAGACTCGGTTACGTAGAAGATCAACCCTGGTAGAGCGATTGTCTTCGGTTTTTTTTTTAGCTTGACCGTGTTCGCAAGGTAGCGGTACACAAGCTTCTCCCATAGTTCGCATGCATGGTTTGCACATTCTTCCTGGCAGACTCACATCTGCCGGCGGATACGCACAAGCCCTATAGAGTTGAACTTAGTCCCCGCAGGCCGCAATCTTGGCAGAACCACTTCTAAACCTACGCCCCATATAGGGGACCCTAAGGTAGTACCCTAATGCTAGGATCCTGGTTATAGGGTGAACAGCACGTGGGAGCGTTTGGTATAAGGACCCCAAAATGAGTTACCACTACTTCCCAAAGACGGTTTTGGCGAAGCCAAGGCCACCTTCGCGATCGGCACAGATGGCAACTGTGCTCTCCGGGCGGCTTGCCAGAGTCACGGGGTTTGGGGGGATACAGACGCTGAGATTCCTGACAACAAGAAGGGCGTTGTAATTCAGGGCCGAGATCATTCATGTTGCGCAACACCCAGTTGAGGTTGAAGGCAGACTTGCACCATGGGCGCTTGTGGAATAATTGAGTCAATACTCCGTCGTCGCATCTTTGCGGTGTCATGCTTTCAGTGCACCGACACTTTCTGAAGTGCTGCACGAAATATGGTACTAGCTCGCTAATTGCCTTTGGCCAAGCTCCGAAAGTCCCTTTGTACCCTGCACCACCCTCGAAACCTGCAGAGTGTAAGACCAAGGTGAAAGGCCCTTGTGTGTCGCGCTCGCACGCGGTAGCGCCATGGCCGATCGAGAGTCGGAGAGCCTGCCTTCCGGGTTTGGGGTCCAAGGTTTTACGGAGATCAATTTGTTTGTTGATATTCATTGAGGTTTGATGTTTCCGGATTTCCGGTTTGGGCTGAAGGTGTCGTGAGACTTTGTCTTAGGGTGTAAAGCCATAGGCCCACATCGAAGTCTCGAACCTGTTGTTTTGGTTGACGTGTTGAGAGGGACAGACAGCGAGAGAAGCAGAGAGAGAGAGAGAGAGAGGATGATGTACGTAGCTTCCCACACCCACAACCAGAGGCGCCTTAAACCCTGGGAACTGCGCTTTCGGGTCGAAGCTGTTGAGTTCTCGGTTCTTGTTTGCTTGGCGCTGGGGGCTTGAGATTGGGTTTTTTTTTTGGAGTGGGGGGGGGGGGGGGCGGCGGGGGCTTACGGTCTTGCAGCAGTCCAACTCGTGACACATCTCAACAATCCAAAGCATCCCGTCAAGAAGAATGGAGCTTAACCACAAGACAGGTGGTAGACACACAAGACCGAGAATCTAAATGCAGAGAACTAGGGCTCCTTGATTCCTGCTTTAGCTGAGGTTGAATTCCAGCCGGAGAAAGGATCAGTGCGGCTTGCCTGTCTGTGTAGAACATGTCATATCATGCGTCTGTATCGATACCTCATACTTCGTGTTTCTGCTGCTGCTACTCCTCGACTCCTCCTGAACTACTGCTCCTACTGCTACTGCTCCCACTGCTACTGCGACTACTACTACTACAACTAGAACTACAACTACAACTACAACAACTACTACTAGTAGTACTACTACTACCACCACTACCACTACCACTACCACTACCACTACTACCACTACTACTACTACTACTACTACTACTACTACTACTACTACTACTACTACTTCTACTTCTACTTCTACTTCTACTTCTACTTCTACTTCTACTTCTACTTCTACTTCTACTTCTACTACTACTACTACTACTACTACTACGACTACGACTACCACTACTACTACTACTACTACTACTACTACTACTACTACTACTCCTGCTACTACTACTACTACTACTACTACTACTACTACTACCACTACTACTACTACTACTCCTGCTGCCACTGCCACTGCCACTGCTACGGCTACTGCTCCTGCTGCTGCTCCTGCTACTGCTGCTGCTACTGCTACTGCTGCTTACCGCTACCGCTACCGCTGCGGCTACGGCTACGGCTACGGCTACGGCTACGGCTACGACTACTGCTAGTGCTACTGCCAATGCCACTGCTACTGCTACGGCTACTGCTACAGCTACTGCTACTGCTACTGCTACTGCTACTGCTGCTGCTGCTTACCGCAACCGCTACCGCTACTGCTACTGCTACTGCTGAATGCTACCGCTACTGCTACCGCTACTGCCACTGCTCCTGCCACTGCCACTGCTGCTGCTACTGCCACTGCCACTGCTACTGCCAGTGCTACTTCTTTCCGCTCCTACTACACCCTTTTTTCTCGGCATGAGGCTTTTTGGTTAGAAGCCATACCCGCAGGGCCCAAATCTTGAACGACTGGGAGAGCTCAGGTATGTCGTGGACACCTCGACGACCCCTGGCAGGTTTAGCCTTCTTCTCTTGATGCGCAGAGGCTTCAATCAAGGCGCCCAGTTGCGATACTGGTAATACTAATATTAATACAAATACTAATGCCAATACTAGTATTAATATTAATACGAATACTAATGCTAATATTAATATAAATACGAATACTAATGCTAATATTAATACTAATCCTAATGCTAATACTAACTGCTAAGACTAGGAAGCGAAGTCTAAGAGTTTAAACCCCGATCTTCAAGTCGAAGGCCTGAGCTCCAAGGCTTCGACCCTGGACTGACACTGCCCTTGTTTGGGAGATCTTCTCGGAATGGGTAGGCCCAGACAATGTGCTTGAGAACCTCGCTTATTCACTTCCACTGAATACTGCACCCCTCATAGCGCTACATTTCTGAACGAGTTTAGTGTTGAATACGCCTTTCTCTCAAAATGTTTTCCAGACTTCTGTCACTGTCCTGTGCCAGTCCTGATGATTTTGAGCATTGCCGTCCCTGCTTTTCTTTGCAGTCGCCGCCTTCGTCATCGCAACCCTGACAGCAGCACTCACGAGCAGCAGGGAAAAGACACCGATGTCTGATCCAAAGATCTCGGTGCAAGGAACGGTACCTTCCTCAACGGCCGGCGTCTGCCTCCAAAAGGGACTGCAAAGGCCAACGGATGGTCTGCTGTATCTTGCACCCGCAGCTTTCAATGAGCGGA